ATGATACTATTTGGAAAAGGAGAAGATGAAAAATCATAAGGAATATTCTAATTTTCAACTTATACAATAGGTTAACCCAATATTTTCAGTAATCTATAATATTAAATGGAATATGAATCTGAATGGGTTTATATTTATTATAGTTATAAACGAATATCTTAAACTTAAGGTGTTGCTATGGGATATATAGGGAGAATGGACATTGTAGATGAATTAAAAATAGATGCATTACACAATCCCATTAGTAATTATGCTCAACTTACTATTGGTCATAGTGGAAAATATTATCCAAACTTTAATGGACAGTTGACAGGTATCAAATTTAGATTAGGTAATGGTGCGTTTGTTGAAACTAAGAATGATATATTATAAAGAATGAAGAACACAGACTTAATGCCTTCAGTTCCTTATGATGTATCTCATAAATATACCATTATTGATGGAAAAATAGACAATTATAAAGTAATTCCAAATAATCCTTAAATGATTGATTTTCCAGCTAATGAATATTCTTTGGCATTATGGTATAAGTAATTCTAAAAAATTAATGACAACAAAGAAACTGTTGTTCGAATTACTCAAAATCCTGTGGGTAAAGTATCTGATTCTTCTTGGATTGGTGATAGAACACTTGCATTTTTTAAGATTAATAAAGATAATATGGAATTCTCCACTTATACTCTATTGAAAGGTATGAACTTTGGTATTCCATATAATTGTTAAATACCAGAACTTAGTCAACACAATTGGTCATTCATTTATATGGGATATAGTAAAAGCAAATAAAAGTTCTATTACTATCTTTCAGTAGATGAGTATATATGTAAAAGTGAAGAAATTATCCTACATGCCATAAGTGATAGACTCTGGATCTATGTAGGTAGTGATAACATCTAATAAAGATTTGAAGGCAATTTAGCTTAAATTGCACTTACAATAGGTCCAGGTTCATATACTAATAGTAAAATACCATTTTTAGCTGAATATCTAGTTGCTGACAAATTATTCCCTAAATAAAAGAAAATAACATGGGAGAAGAATGAATAAGTAATGTTAGTATCAGATGGTGATGAAAGTATAAGTTCTCTGAAAGTTGAGTTATTTAATGGATTCTAATATCCATTTGATTAAATGTAAGAATATGGTTTTGGTATGTGGACTCGTTATCTCACTACTATTCCCTAAAGATAATTATCTAAACCAGCTTTAATGTAATTAGCAAGATTGTCAATAAATAAATAAACAACAGATGGTGTAATTAAAATAGGTGATAGAGTTCTAGCTACACATATTGTATTTAATTATTATTAATTATCAACCTATGATCTGAATACTGATACTGGAATACAATAAAAATTTATGAAATATAATCAATTGGAAGGTATTTGGAGATATATTTATATGGGTTACAGCAAAGATATTGAGACTGTTTCATGTTATACATATGATACAACAATAACAGAAATTAAAATAGACAAGATTTTACATAAACCATTAACTGATTATTTATTATTTAGAATTGGAAAGGAGGATACAATAACAGGGTTTTAAGGAAGTATTACAAAAATTATGTTATCTCTTGGTCCTGGTTCATACATTAGACAATAAGATCAATTCAAATCTTAAATAGAGACTACTTTTTCTTTGCCCTTTTAATTGACATAAGAATATACTGATAAGGAGAAGCATGGGAAATTTGAAATTATTGAAGATGTGAATTAGATTGATATTACTAATGGAATATAATTTGAAGGTAATAGATGGAGTGGAATAAGTGAATATGCCTTTAGTGGTTGGATTAAACCAACTGGTGCAGGTTCTATAGATTGTTAATTAATTTTAAGATTAACTAATAATAATGCAGAAATTTTGAATGATAGAAAATCTTAAGGAGATAGAACATTACACATTACTATTTGTAACACTCAATTAATTAAATATTCTACATATACATTAGTAGATTTAAAAGATGCAAATGAACCTAAATTTATGGATGGTTAATTAGAATTAAATGATTATAATTATGCTTGGAATTATATATATATGGGTTATAATTAAAGAACAAGAGAAGTTCATTGTTTATTGCATACATTGATTGAAGATAAACCAATAACATGGGAATAAGTATAACATTTTGTTCCTAATTATTTGGGATTGTACATAGGATAAGATAAATTTACAAATAAATTTATTGGATAAATGAATAAATGGACAGCAGCATATGGATTAGGTGGTTTTGTTAGTTTAAAGAAGAATGGTTATTAATAACTATTACCATATTATGGTCTAGTGTAACCAAATAAATAATTTTAATGGAATTCAAATAAAGATACTGTCATATAGACTCCAGAATTTATCATTTAAGAATTTACTAATGAAATAGATTCAATAACTGAATATGCAGTAGGTATTTGGACTAGATGGTTAACAGATTTCCCTGACCATCTAGTAGAGAGAAAAGATTCTCATTCTATTTTTAGATTAACTGCTAAGAAAGAACATTAAGACAAATCATAAATATAGGATAGAGTGTTGAGTGCTTTTTTAATTAAGGGATCATATGATTTTAGTAGTTATGATATTGCAACTAATAACTTTGCTGCAAATAGTTTGGCTGCATATGATTAGATAGAAGGATAATGGAATTTTATTTATATGGGATATAAAGATGGTTAAACAGTTGGTATAATAATAGTAAGAGATACAGCTAAAGCATTGAAAGTAGAATTTGCAACAAAACATATACCTTTAGTAGGATATGCTAAATTTTTGATTGGTGTTTCTGAATTTGGACATGGTTAATTTCATGGGTGGTTATATGATCCTCGTCTATATTTAGGATAAGGTAGTTTTATTAATGAAAGTTAGAAGGTTGTAGATTTACTCTAAAAAATTCATCGTAAATTACCCTTACCTGCAGTTGATTTAGCTGATTTTAAATGGGCAATTCCTTAAATGGATACGACTGAAAATATAAAAACTGGTTTTATAGATTATAAATTTGAGGATAAATAAGAATCTGTTGAATATTCATATGGAATGTGGATATAATAGTCTCCTTTATTACCTGGTATGCCAACAGTTCCTCGATTAATTGCAAGATTATCAACAAATCATCCTTAGTTTATGAAAGATTTACAATTAGGTGATAGAACACTTTTAGTTAGTATGTTAAATGATAAATTGAGTTATAATACTTATAAATTACTCGACACTCCATAATTTGAATAGAAAGTGGAAGAGATCCAAGTTGAATAATTATAATGGACTTATGTATTTTTCTAATACAAGAAAGGAAATGCATTGGCTTATGCATTATAAGTGAAATAAGCATAATAAAAGAAGATCGAAGCTCTTCATGTTATACCAAATGTGTTTTATTTCTATATTATAAAAGACTAAAATTTTGCAGAATTCTATGTATAATTTCTATTTAATTAATTTAGGGAAAAGTAAGTGATGTGAAAGTATACTTTGGCTCTAGCAGTTACTTTGAAGATCCATAAGTTACAATAGAGAAATGGCCATTTGATAAGAAATATTTATAGCCAATTTCTGAATAACCTATTAATAATCAACAAATAACTTCAGCAAAAATATCTAGAAATATGGATATCAAAAATGAAAAATACATTGGAGATTATTGATTAAATATGATATATAATTAAAATTAAACTAATGAATTTAAATGAAGATAAATTTGAATTTAATAATATATTCTATATTATTTCTAATCTAATAACTACTATAAAAATTTATCTATTAAGAGGATTAATTTAATTTTATAAAATGAAGTAATTAATATATTATATCATGTATACAAATAATGTTTTGAATAAGTAATACAATTTAATAATATTTACATTAAAAAATATATTATATAAATTAGAATCATTTTTAATATCTTTTATTTATTAATACATTCTTTTAATATTTCATCTATATCTTAGATGTTCATTATTCTATATATATAACTAAATAATCTATAAATTTCATTATGATTAATTATAAAACTATAATAATATATGGAAGTATTATATAATTAAGATTAGGGGAAATATTAATATAAAATAATCTTAATATAAACTTTATAGATTTTGTTTATCTATTTTCCACAACCCATAAAATTCTTTTTAAAACCTTCTATAATTCGAATGATTGTTTTAATGGAAGATTAATCATCTTGATTTTGTGATTGGTATGTCTTATACTTAATTAAAAATAATTAAATTAGTTATATGATCATTAGTGATGATATTAGATAATTTGGATATATAATTATTGAGTAGGAATGCAAATTATATTTAAGATTAATATTCACATATTCTCTGCAACATATGTCTCAATTAATTGCTAAAATAAATTCTTAACACCTTCTCCTGTTTTGGCAGATGTTTCATAGAATATCATACTATTCTACTTTGCAAAATCTGTAGCCTTAGCCTTTGGTACTTTTCTTTCAGATTCTAAGCAATCACATTTATTGCCTACTAATGCCAGAGCCATTCCTCAATTATGTTAATTATTCTTACCATCTTTTTAGATTTTTTCTTCTAATTCTTTAAGCCAAGTTGAAACAGATAAAAAGGAGTCACTTTATGTAATGTCATACACAATAATAGCAGCATTTGCATCCCTATAATACAGTGAAAGTAGAGATCTAAATTTCTCTTCACCTGCTGTGTCCCATAAATGGATCTTTAAGTTTTAACCTATCCATTTAGATACTATTATAATACCTTTCACATTCATCTCCACGCTATTGTATACTCCACCAATCGTTATTTCATATTCTGATTGAAACTATTATATTTTTTTAAACAGACTAGCATACCTTATCAAAACAGAATCTTGAAGCAATAGAACTTTTTCCTACAGCCTTATCACCAAGCATCACTACTTTAATGTCCTTCTTTTATCCAGGATTATTTGATTTTGTTTTGATACCTGCCTTAGGTTAATTCTTTGGTTAATTGTCTCCACAACACATAAATATTTTTATGTAATTTATAGAATTCTTAATTTCATAACTATTCCCTAAACCTCCTTTCAAAAATTCTATTCGTCCTAATCGAATTAAAAAAGGTAATTCAATCAATCTAATATATTAGAATAAGAAATTTGTCAATCTTTATAATTGAATTGGATCTCAAATTCTAATGTAGATATTATTGAATTTGATTCACAAGGATGCAGAACTTAAATTAAATTAAATGAGTTATATCCTTTCTCACAACCTTAATTAAGATTTTAATTGGATGATGATTTCTACTCAATAAAAAATCTTAATGATTACAATTAGTATGATTACTATTTCAAAGTTCTTAAATGGACTCCTCAATTAACTGTGAATTAGATTATTGAGAAGTATTATCAATTAATATAATTTAGATCACATGAATTCATTAAAAAGAATATTTTCATCAAATAACCATACACTTTAGATCCTTATTCAGATTTACTTAGTAAAATTGCTAAATCTTCAAAATCATTAGATTTATCAATTATATTCACATTTTTACTTATATCCCTTTCTAATTTGATACTCTATTTACCAAATTATGAAGAATAATAATAATTAATGGAAAGAACAGTCTTATTTGGATAGAATACATGGTATAATCAATTTTAATAATTACCACTATCACCACTAAAAGCTTAATTTTATTGTCTAATTGGATTGATTGTTAATGTCTTTGATTCATCTAAGTTACATGTATTCAAATAACAGTAAGAATAAATCAATTAACCCTTCTTTCATTACTTAAATTTAATTATAAACTTACTCATCTTTTACTGTCCCTTGTACTTTCTATTAAAATCCAAATAGTTTAAAATCAATAAAGAAATTTTATAAGGAATATTACTTTATTAAATAATATGTCCAACATTTTTAGGAATATGGAATATTATTGAAAGTAAATAAATTCTCATTTATTTATAGTATTAATGGCTTTATGTATTTTTATTATTGCAGAGAATGTTTGGTTTGGCTCAATTTTATATGTAATAGCAGTTAATTATGAACCATAATGTCTCCTATTCTATCCTATAATATCAACATACTGTTTAGGTAGATTATGTTAATAACATGGAATCATTACTAAAAAGAATATCAAAGTAATATTATCTTAATACATATAGCCTAATTTTTAAGGTCTCTAAGAATTAGTAATTGAATTGATATTCTTAATTTTAGTACTGATAATTGTTTAATGTTTCATTTTAATTCCATTTTATTTTAGCTCTACATTGTCTTAAGCTATATATCCATCTACATTTATTAATTATTTCAATTCATTGTTTAATCATGAATTCTACAATTTTATAATATTTGGATTTGCATTTATATTTTCATTTCCTGCTTTAATGTTAAGTTTTTTAAATGATAAATATTGTGCATTAGGTGTGTTTAATGTCATAATAATTATTAAATTGTTTGATATTGCAAATGGTATTACAACTTAAATGTTATCAGTATTTTTAATGTTGAATTTTAAATATTTTAGATAGATTATAAATTACATAATAATGTTAATGCCTCAATAAAATTGGATATTCAAATTATTGTATTATATTTTTGGAGATTTATTTATGTAAAGAAACAATTAATTGATTGATACTCATAAACATGGATAATATTAATTTTAATCCTTAAGGAAATTAGGATTCTATGTAATTTATTTATATATATAGCATAGATATTATTATTATCTTAAATTATGTATATATATGATTTAGAGATGATAATGTATAAAATATGTTTGGTTATATTACTAATAAATTGTTTGTTCATAATTTAATAGAAGATTGTTAAGGTTATGAAAAAAGCTAAAACTGATTGAAGTAATGTATTTTATAATAAAGAGTATTATTTTAATTAAAATTAACTTTATTAGTAATTATAATTAAAAAATTAAATTAAAATCATATATCTTTTATAAATTTAAAGTTTTCAGGTTCTCTTAGTGCTCTCAATAAGTTTTATCTATATTTGAGATGCCAAGCTGTATTTGAAATTCTTGAATTGTATACGTATGGAACTGCCTAATTTTTTAGAAAGTATTGGCTTAATAGAAATATATTAATAAAAATACCTAATGATTCGAAATACTTTGTTAAACTCAGGATTTTTACCATTATCTATCCAAAGTTCTCTAAGTTATTTAATATTTGTCATTTGATTCTTTTTACTCTTTAATAAACTAATAAAGCTATCCTATTGTTCGCTATTGATAAATTTTTAAATTAATTTTTCATCATTTAGAATATAAGATATTATGGCTTTTGAAAAATTTTTTGTGATATTCTTAGTATCATTAACTTTAGGTCCTTTCTTTCTACGATGAACTCTATAAGAATCTGAACTCTCTTATACTGGTACTCTTTTTCTAATACGTTTAGCTAATTTTTATTCATTTTTTAATTCTTTTTATTCATTCTAGCTCTAATCCTCTTCTTTTAAAACTAGACTTTCACAAGATCTTACATGTCTTAACCATTTGTCTTATTCTTTATTGAAATAATTTTAAGACTAATCTTGTTATTGTTAATTTAAAGATGGAGGTTTTACAATAGATAGTTAGGTCTTGTTGATTGGATTGATTTTAGCCTATTTATCAAGACTATTATTTGATTGGCGTGGCAATTCATTTTAGCATTATTAGGGTAAGTAAGGATAACAGGATTGCATAGGTGAATTATAAAAGAAAGGCATCATCGAAGCAAAAAAACGACTCTAGGATTGTAAGACATCAAGTTGTCTTTGCATCGATTTACTATCAAGAGAGCTATTTACAAGAGGTCCTACTATTTTAGAGTGATTTAATAAGTATTCATTAGTTCCATCCTATGAAACTCTTAAAGAAGTATCAAAAGGAGTAAAAGATGGATTGTAAAAAAAGTTTGTTTAAAAGGGTTGATCAGTTGACATCTATTAGACCTAAGGGTCATTTGAAGTTTGGACTTTTATGAGTGGTCTAAACTATCTTAGAGGATCAATTGATGCTTCAACTGAAACAATTTCTGAGGGTTTGGCAACATAAGGTGTAAATGATTTGACATTCTTTTTGACGCTTTCAGACATTTTTAATTCCAAAAAAGTTATGAAATAAATAGATAAGGAAGAAAATAAATAAAATTCAAATTGTTTAATTGTAAGTTTATTTGAGAGCAATAATCTCTTGCTATAAAGAAGCAATATATTTCAATAGTACTCTTTCTCTATTATTGTAGGAATCTAAAATTAATTTCATCTTATTATGGATTGCTTAAAATTATTTATTGAGTCTTTAATTTTATGGGGCTCTCTTCTTGGTTGTATTTGTTTAAGAATCTACTAAATCAGAGTAATCAAGTGATCTAGTAATTTAATGGGGATCTATAAATTTTCTATAAATTTTGGATGATTGCTAAGAAGTAGTCTTTTGAGACAGAGCAAGTCTTGGATTCTTTCTATCAATGCTCTTAGAGCTTAATATTTTAAGTTATTTTTACGGATAATGGATAGAATGCATGGCTTAATTTTGAATCTTGATGGCTCCGCTATATAATGACTTAGCTCTTGCTTCTTGTATTCTTTCAAAATCAATTGTTTTAAATGCCCATTCAGATATAGTCTAACATCTCTATTTGGCCTTGAATCTAATGTCTTCATCATAGTTCTTTTTTTTCATCTTTTCTATTTATTTGTATTACAATAAGTATTGAAATAATTATTATAGTATTTTGATTACATATAGATTATCAAAAGCTTATTGTAGGCCTATCAACAAACTCAATCTACTCAAATAGCTTTCTCTGAATAGATTATAAATCAAATTTAATTATGATATATTAATAAGTATCAAATTAAGAAAATATCTCGTACTTTAATAATGAATTTATCCAAAATGACACTGCATTCTTATATACATTAATATCTTTATCTTGTTCACAATTTGATATGAATTAGATTGAATAAAGAGTCAATGAGTATCTCGATTAAATCGAACTTCAAATTACTGATCCTACACAGAAGTAATAAAGCTATTTTGAAAATGTCAGACATCATATCAAATCTTATGAACATAGATGTTAAAATGAATAAGAAGCTATATCCCCCTATTCTCTTAGAGAAATCTGTACTCCCACTCAATAAATGAGAACATGTTACTCTAAATCTGATGAGTTGTTGAGACTGAATTCCTTTCATCGAAACAACTTGCATATAATTATTCATTGCAAGAAGTAGATGGCTTAATCATGAAGAAAATCTATTCACAATTTGTAATATTAATTATATATGAATCATTGCGACAATTACTTTCAACTCTCTGAGACTGACAACTAAAATATACAAGCCATTAAATCTAAATGGCGATTCCAGAACAATTCCATTAATGGGTAACCATAACTAAAAATTGAATTTGAAGAATAACCTTAAAAATCATTTCAATTACCTGATGTCTTTTTGACAACAAGATAAAATTAACATAAAGTTTAACATTGTCATATGACATAGCAATCATTTCATGAAATCCCTAAAAAAAGTAGAAAAGGAAGCAATATAAGTTTAAGCAGTTTAGAGGTTTCACCGAAAATTCCAATCTTAAATAAAAGCAAACAAGAGAAATTTAAAGAATTATCAGATTTACAAAAGAGTTATTCTTAATACAAGTATATCTATTATTCTTATATCTAACAGAAAATCATTTCATAAAGTTAAACATTAACAATAAACATAATAATTCAATACATCTACATATTTATAATAGGAATCATCATTTTTGTTCAATGGAGTTAAGTTACCATACAGTTTATACATGATTAATAAGAATAGACAATTAGCTATTAGTAATATAATGTAAAATGCAAATGTCCAATTGTAAGAACAATCCAAATAATAAATCGAGATGATCGACAATTAAATAAAAAAAGTTCGTAATATTGGCCCTTATTTAAGGGAGTGAACATCAGAATAGGTAAAAAGTGAAAGAATACAGAAGCCGATCGTACTTATAAAATGCCTATTATTCAATGTTGTGTGTGAACTAGGACTCCAAGAGGCGTCTAAAGAAGATTATTTAAGGAAAATTTCCAATGGAGTCTAGATTTTAACAGTTATGAAGAAATAAAATAAATATAATATTTGTTAATAATGATTACTACACCTGATATAAATGACTCTACATTTCATGAACTCTAAAATGAGATATAATGTCTTAAATCTGAGAAAGAGGAATTCAAACAAACTTTGTTAAAATTATGGATTCAGATTTCAAAGACATTTAATGATGACTTTGAAGAAATATTGTAGTTAGGCATAAATTCAGATATTGAAGATATTATGAATGCAATTTTTATTGTAGAAGAAGCAAGACAAGAATAAATAAATGTATTTATATAATATAAATAGTTTTAGAATGAAAGAAATTAGATTGTTGCTTTGAATGAACAATTATAATCACATAAGAATACTACAGATTCAGGAAATGAAGAATTGAAATAAGTAGAAAAATAATATAGAGAATTAAGTGAATTAGTTTTATAATTAAAATAATAGAATGCAGACAAAGATCTTTAAATTTCTGTTTTGAATACAGAAACTAATAAACTTAAAATGGAGATTACATAATTATCATCTAAATTAAATGATTTATCAGCAGTTTTAATATAAGCAAAGGAAGAAAAAATTAAATATATGGAATAAACATAAAATTAGATTAAGATGTTAATGGAAAAAGATTTACACAATAGTAGACAGATATAAATGTTATAAATATAAAAAATTGAACTAGAAAATAGTTTAAAAAAGTACAGTTAAAAATATACAAATGAATAATCTAACAATATGTATTGTTAAACTTAAAAAGAAGAAGACTAAACTAGAATGCTTAGTTGTTCTCCAAGTACTTTTTTTACTTTCATATTTAAGGAACTACACATATTGATTTTTCAAAAATTGTATAATAAAGTTTACATAATAAGAAGGCTGAAATGGTATCAGGATCTTCGCTTTCTCAAATTCCCTATAGATTTGGTAAATGATAAACGTTAATAATTATTAAATTTTCAAATATAAATATTATAAGTATGCAAAAAACTCCAGAGAAGCAAGAATTAAGTTAGGCTCTGCTATTGTCTATCAGTTAATATTCATGGGATAAATAAATTAGATTAACAACAGATGAGGATGTATTATGTAGTTATAGTAAATTCTCAAATGATCAAGGAGTATGATTTTAATTATTAAATACTTTAGAGTTATTGTGAGACAAAGAAAGATCAAGGAAATGTGTTCATTAAAAAATGCAATCAAGTTCAAATTGATGATGTATAAAGTCAAGAAAATAAATAATTATTATTAATCTTGAGAGAGAAAGATAAAAGAATTGAAGAATTAGAACACTATTAAGTATGGTTGTAAGAATAGAATGAGAAATTGAAGTTGAATTAGCAAATGATGATGTAAATTTCATCTGAATATTAGTGAAGATTAATCAATGAATTAATTGCAAAGAGACTCAGCATCAAAAAGACATTTATAAAAAATAGAAGATCTAGAATTGCAGATTAATTAATCAGAATAATAATATCATAAAAGTTTGAAAAGTCTTGGTTAATTGGAAAAAGAAAATTCTACTTTAAAAACTAAAATATTTGAATATGAATAAAAGTTATTCTAATAGCAACATCAATAAAAAGTAACTGAATAAATAAATGAAGTAATTTTTATATGATTTATTAATAGTAATAAAAGTTAAAATATGAAGAACAATAATAAATAAATTAATCTAAAATTTATGAGTTACAATAATACATATAATCACAAGAATCTTATATTAATAAATTATAACATGATGTAATTTATTTATTTATATTTTATATAGGTATAATTATCTAGAAAGAATTCTAAGGAAAACATTAGTAAATAATATAAATCTGTTGTTTTAAGAGAAAAATCACCTCAATTAAATCAGTATGATTAACATTAAATGAATAAATTTGTTGAATGTATTGTTGATATGGTAATGAATTGTACTTTGAGTTAAGCTTAAACTAAACCAAGGTAATAATTTAATTAAATTATATAGTTTGAAAGAATGTTGGAAATGGCTTAAAAATATATTAGAAGAATATATGATATTGAAAAAATAAATTCTTTAAGATACTAATAAAACTCATTCTACCAAATCCAGTTAATTTGTAGGTAAGGAAATCAATGGAGAAAGAAAAAGAGATCATAGTTTTTTTAATGATTTGAATAGGAGATTTTAGACATCTGTTGAGGATTCAGAGAACAAATATTTAAGATCTAATACTCTCTTAAGTAGAGTCCAGAAATGAATTAATTATTGTAGCTGGTTTTAATTAAGATTTTATAAAATATTAATTGTTAATTATTTAATGGAAAGATTATATAATTATTTTAATTATAAATTCAAAATTGAATTAAGTTTCAATTATATTTGATATACTTAAAATCAGATATTTTTTTTTGTATATCAAGTTCTTATTTATAAGAGGAAATATTACTAAAATATAAATATAATAATTATACCCAAAATTGATATTATTTTCATGCTATTTAGTAGTTATTTATTATATTTCATTATTAAATAATTTTTATTTAAGTATTTTTATTGATTCTTCATTTCTTCTAGTTATTTATTCCAATTATTCGAGTTTTTAAAGAGATAAATATCCATACTAAATCTTAATTTAATATTTACATCTTAATATTTTCTACTTTCAGAAATAAAATCAAATAATTAATTCTATATATTTCTATTAAATAAATCTAATTCATCTTGTCTTTATTTAATTTTTGAAATATCTTTCTAAATCTCATTCATCTAATATTCCATTTTTCTAAAAGAATCTTATTATTCTATATTTATTTTCTTTTTTTAATCTACTTTTAATAAATTATTCAATAAAAAGTTTGATAATTCTATTTTTTATTTCTCTTAACCATCAATTTATTATTAAGCTGATTTTTATTTTTAACTATTCTATTTACTATTATTATTATCTGTTTTTTTTCTATCTGGAGTTAAACTTGATGAAATATCTATTTTATTTGATTAATGGAGAATTTAGCTATTTTTCTTTTGTAATTCATTAGTAAAACTTAGATGCTTTTTTTTATTTTAACTTTCATTTAATGTTTTTTATGCTATTTCTTTTATTGGATGACTACTTTTAATCATATATTAAATTGATGAGATAATATTTGTACAAGAATTGGAATTTATTAGATTTTCTTTTTGATCTTATGAATAATACTTTTTATTAGATAGTACACAATCATTTATACAATTCTTCTTTTCAGAATGATGAGATTATTCTGTTGAAGACCCAATATCAGTTTATTCAGGGATTTAGAATAACATATTACCAAAGCTTTGATTTTTATGCAAATTTTTATGAGAATTTTATTCAACCAATCCAACTATTTTAGAATTCATTATTTATTAAAAATCATTATTAGACTATGCTCTTCTATGATTGTTTTTCCCCTTATTCATTCAAATTCAAAAAATAAAATTATTGATTTTATAACAATTATTTGTATATAAATAATATACAATTTGAGTTAAAAGAACTATGTTATCCTATAAAATTACAAATTATATTTATATATATAAATACTAATTAATAATTATTAAAGGTCAATCAATAATTATATTCAAATAATACTATCAAATTATCTAAGCATGTTTAATATATTTCATTTAATTATTAAATCACAAATAAATATAAATATATTGAGTAAAATTTATACTTTGATTGAATATTATTTAATATTAATTCTAACCAACAAAGGAAAAATTTAATTTAAAATTTTAGAAGAAATGAAGTTTTCAACATCCTAGATAATGAGCAATTCATAAATCAGATCAGAATCACCGTCATTCTAAAAAATGTAAGCTTTAGCAGATAAATGGACTTAATTAAAAGCTGGAATAGATAGAGATAAATTTGAAAAAAAAGAAATTATTGATGCATCACTTTAAAAGATTGATAGTTTATTAAATTATGATAAAATAAAGGATGAAGATAGGTTTAAAGTAAATTATAAATAATAATAATAGATACTCAAAGAATAAATTTTAAAACTTAGTGATCAAATTAATAATGAGAAATTTGGGAAAGAACATTATGTTAGATATTAAGAATAATTACAATAATTTGAAGAATTAATTAATAAATAATTAGATGAAGAAAAAAATGTATATATATTTAATAAATTAAAATAGAGTAAAAGAAGAGTAGAAATGTAGTTATTAAAATAAATAGAAGATAGATTTGATACAGTTCATGGAATGCTTGAAAAAAATAATTCAATTTATTATGATAAATTGAATAGATAAATAGGAGATGTAAGCAATTAATTAAAAGATCTAAGATATACTATTGAAAATGAATAATAAACTAGGTATTTATAATATTATATATTTATTAGATCTGACTCATAAGCTCATTTAATAGAATAAATGGATCTAGAATTAAATAAGTTTTAGGAAATGATGTCTATAGAAAGATCTGTAAGAGAAGAAACTGAAAAAAAGATATTTTCTATGATAGAAGAGGTTCATTCAAAAATTTAATCAGAAATTTAAGTTGAAAGATAACAAAAAGAAAAATCTCATGAGAGCATTCTAAGATTATTAGAATAAACTTGTATCAAAATAGATGAAAGCTTTAATTAATGAATATAATTAATTATTATTTTATTAGAAATAAAATTGATATTTGTTTAATCTATTATTTAAATAAATATCAAAAATCAATTATTTCAACTTAAGTACCAGGTTTTCCCCACAATTACACACAAGGACAAAGATCATCAGCAACTTCCAATTTCATTGACTAATATATTTCTTATATTTTACATATTCTTCATTAGTAGATTATTTAATCCAAGTTATTTTCTATTCATTTATATTTACAATGACTTATATTATATCATTCTTTCCATATTTAAATGATTGTTTAGTTAAATTCTTTTCCTTTTCTAAATGTGAGTAAACAGAACCATCACAAAAAATTAAATAAGCTCTAAAATTATTAAATTAAATATATACCCATGACCAATTTTATTTAATTTGGGATTGAAATTTGCTATTTTTATTAATTCTTTTCTACAAACACCAATATAAATTCCATCTTCATGGCATTTGAAAGCAAATTTAGTTGAAACATTCAATGGTAATATTGGTTCACAAAGAGCAAATAGATCACCTTAAGCAATTGATTAATTGTTTGTAAGTGTAATTTCTTCATATTTTAATTCTTATGAAAATCTAAAATGAATTTTAACGCATTTATCAATCTCTTTTTATTCCTCTATTTTAATATCATCATCTTTAATTAAATATGTAGAATTCAATTAATTTTAATATTCTAATTCTTCAATTGACAACTATTAATTTTGGCATACTTTTTATATAATATTATATACATTCCTTATTTAAAATTAGACTCTCAATCTCCTTCTTTAATTTCTCTTAAAAAGTAATTAATTATTTAATTTTTGGAATCAAATTAACTTAAGCCTTTTCAAGAAGAATGAGTTAATTAATATACACTTCTATTTCTGAACAATTTAAAGATTCAAAATCTGGTTAATTATTTTAATCTACATTTCCAACTAAACATTTTAATGCTTTTTAAAAGGATTAACATTCATTTACAAGTTGATTCATAGGTTCAATCAATTATCTTCTGCTTTTAACCCAACCATCGAATTCATTTAATCTAACCAAATCATCAGAATGTTCCTTATGAAATTAAGGTTTGCAAGCAACACAAAAAGCTCTTTTATGTTTGCAATTTTTATTAGTACATACTCCTACTATAGGACTATTCTCATGCTCTTCATAACAACAAGTTAATAAGATTGATGATCTCATTAATATAAATTATATTGAATAACCAAAATAAAATGATTTTTATGAATTAATCAATATTAATATAGAATTGAATTCTATCATTATTTTATAATACATTTATGTAAATTCTAGTTTTTTGATTTCTACAAATTTAATTTTTAAATTCTTAAAGATAATTTTCAACAATATATTATATTTTATTAATAGATATAAAAGATTATATATTAAATTTGAATTATTACCTAACTTATTAATAATATAAATAAAATAGTATCATAAATGTTTATTATACTAGAGCTTCCATTCTTCACACTCTCTTGATTTCATCTCAAATTAATACAATATTGTTTTATTTTAAGTTTCTAATAATTCAATTTTAGATTCCATTTATCTTTTCATTTATTCAAATTATGATTTACTTATTTCTTCTTTGACTTATTCTTATATTTAATTTTATTTTTGTAATTCAATAAGTTTTTACTTTTAAGATTCTAATTCATTTTATAATCTTTAAATCAATAACTAATATATTTATAATATAATTTACATTATTTTCATTATTTTTTAATGCTAATTCTCCTCTATACTATCTAGCATCATCTAATTCATTTGATCTCTATTCTAATAATTCTGTTAATTAATCAATTTAATCATTTAATTGTTAAATTTCTTAGTTTTATTCAGTTATATCATTTTCATATAATGATTATAATTATTAATATTCATTTTGTAATTTATTTAATTATTATGATGAAGTTTCATTATGTTAATTGAGTGTGTCTAAAGTAACTTATAATTCTTGATTCAATTCTTAATTTTCACATAATTATTATGAAGTAATTTCCAATTAAGAATTTAATTATGAATTTTCTTAAAATAATTTATTTTTCTATTATTCATATTCAATTTTAAGTTCTTAAATTAATTTTTTATATTTTAATTCTAAATCTTATGTACTATTTTAATGTTATTCTTAAAGATAACAATTTTATTCAACTTAGGATTATATTTCATCTTATAAACCTGATATTAGATCTAAAATTAATTTGAAATTATACTTTATGATTCTTAAATTTATTAGTTTAACATATTAATTTCATATTACATTTAACTAATTTTATGAATTAAACATTCTTTTTCATTTAGAAATTCTTTTTCTTGTTATTTAATAGTCTATTCAAAATGTTAATTTTATTTATTTATTTCTTTCTTTTTCTCATCTTCTAAATCTTATTATTTTATTTTTTATGCTTCTAATGATTAAATCAATGTCTTTTCTCCTGTTTTAATCTCATTTATAATATTATCTAATTATATTATTTCTTATTTCTAAAATTCAATTACTTAATTTCTTCTAATTAATTCATCTTATAATTTTTAGACTTAATCATCCATAATTTACATCTACTCATAATGTGTCTATTAAATTTCTTATAAATTTTGATTGTAAATCTGATCTTTTTAATATAGTTATAAAGATGCATCTTAATCTAAATTATGTTTTTCTTTCTATGCATACTTTAATTCAGACTAATAATCATTCAATTATTATTTATAGATATCTAATTATTTATTTAATTTTGATATCTAAATATCTTTCTCTTTCATTTTATTAATTAAATCATCATTAATATTCTTATAATTTTTAAGTTCTATTGTTAATTAATCTAAATGATTTTCATAATCTTTAATTCTTTAAACTGAATTTGTAGATATACACTTAAATTATTATTTATTAATATACTCTTTATTCTGCTTATTCATATCTACGTTTCCAATTATTTATTTCATGTTATTGTAATTCAACTAAGTTCATGAGTTTCTTAATTTCAAAATCAGGATTTATAAAACTATTACTCTATTTCATATCCATATCAATACTCTTCTCAAATTTACTTGTATAATGAGAATTTCTTAAACTCTACTAAGATTTTTGATTTGTAGAACCTTATTTATAAAATTACCAAATTACCCTATTACATCTCATTATAATGAGGACTCTTTGATTATGTGTGTTATGATAATGCACTTCTTGTTTTGGAAGGAGATGAAGCTGATATAGGTTTTAATAATTGAGACATTTGGTATAATTCTAACAGACAATTAATAATATTTTATCATAAAATCAAATTGATTGTATTATCATTTAATATTACCAAATATTAATTCAATTATTATTATACAAACCAATGGGATGTGGATCAAAAAATCAAAAAAGAACTTCTTTAATAATTATTATTGACAGTCCACCACCTAGTTTACCATCCTCTATGCATATTATAGATCTACCAACTAATCAAACTTTTAATCTAGGTGCCAAACTCCAATAATTTGAAAAATCAAACTTAGCTTTAATGCTTAGTTCCTAACCAACAAATGAGGAAAGGGATTCACAAAAACATTGAAATTAATTTAAAATAGAACTTTTTATATTCATTCTTTTATATATATATGTCCCTATACTCAACATGAAGGATATAGTACTTGTAATAGCATATTTCTGCATTTTATTAACATATGTATCATTCAAAGGTTGCTTCTTCATTTCATCAACAAATTTTCACTCTTTTATGATATTTCCAAGAATAATTGTTTACTTCGCATTAAAGATATTATTAACAATGTTACTATAATCTTCAGTTATTTATAATAAAAACTCTAAATTAAGAGAAAATCAATTAGTATTCAATTATTAATGTTTAGAACATTTAAAAAATGTAATAAAAATAATAATTAGAGAATATTATCAAAAAATCTAATTTTAAAATACATGCTTTGTTTTCTTTACTTTTTAATAATTAGAAATTTATTCTTAAATTTTAAAAACAAATAAGAATTACAATAATTATATTAATTATAATTATATTGATATTGGTGATTTAGATATTAGAGAAAGAATAAATTTTATTTCATTAATAACGTATATTAATAATATCGATTACTTAAACTATTTATATATGAACTAATATAATTAGTTTAAAATAGATCTTTAAATATATGATGATATATTTATTTATATGGAACTCAATTATTTGTTAAATCAAAATTTTAGTATAAATTCTAAAAAAATTATTATTTCAAATATCTATTATTATTTTATATAAATAATTTTTTTACTTTATATATTATGAAAAGTAAAAAAATATGTAACATATGTTATATGAATGTTTATCTTAGACTATTTATTATAATCTCTATGTCAATATTATTTGAACTTACATTCTAAATCATCTTAAATAATGAGATTTTTAATGATTTCAATCTGATTTTTACAACATTGAATTAAATAGTATAACATTTTATAATCAAAGAAAGAGATAATTGAATCAATATTAATAATGGAAAAAAAATTTATTGTAATTTTAATTAAAAAATACAAAGCTTCCTCAAATATTAATGGTTTTTTTGATCATATTAATATTAATCAATTAATCTAATATTAAATATTTAATAAAGATAATAAGATTAAAATTGCTTTTCAAAAATGAGATTACATTGTACATTGTTTTATGCATAAATCAAACCAGGTATTTATGAGGATGATGTCAAATAACTTTAATATTCATTAAAATTTAGATGATAATATTATTTGTTTTATATTAGAATTATAGATTGATAATCTGAAAGGACAATGATAGATTAACCTAAAATGAGTTAATTAAAAGAAAAAATAAATAAACTGAATTTAATTCAAATAAATTATAAAACTTTAATTAATTTTATATATATATATATACGTGATTAAGGAAGTGATAATTACGTCATCGTATAATAATATTTATGCCATTAAAATTTCTAATTAGATTAATATATATTTAAAATGGAGAAAACCTTATTAGCAGTCGGTTTAATGATGTTGTTGGGAGCCAGCCTCTACTTGAACAACACATAAGAAGTATCAGATGAAATTGATACAGCCAATCTTTATACAAATTGGAAGTTGAAATATAACAAGAGATATACAAACCAAAGAGATGAGATGTACAGATACAAGGTTTTCACAGACAACCTTAACTACATCAGAGCTTTCTATGAAAGTCCAGAAGAAACTACATACACTTTGGAATTGAATCAATTTGCTGATATGAGCTAATAAGAATTCGCTTAGACCTATTTGAGTCTCAGAGTTCCAAAGACAGCCAAAATCAATGATGCCAATGATAACTTCTAATACAAGGGTGCAGAAGTCGATTGGACCACTGATAAAAAGATTAAATATCCTGCTGTCAAGAACTAAGGATCATGTGGTTCATGTTGGGCATTCTCTGCAGTTGGTACACTTGAAATCAACGCTGATATTGAACTCAACAAGAGATATGACTTATCTGAATAAGATTTAGTTGACTGCTCAGGACCATATGACAATTAAGGATGTAATGGTGGTTGGATGGATTCTGCTTATGAATATGTTGCTGACCATGGTTTGGCTGAAGCTAAAGATTATCCATACACTGCTAAGGATGGAGTCTGCAAGACCTCAGTTAAAAGACAATTCACCTATGTTACAGGATTCTATGATATTGACTCATGCAGTGAATTAGCTGATGCAATCTAAGAAAGAACCATTGCTGTTGCAGTTGATGCCAATCCTTGGTAATTCTACAGTAATTATTTAAATTTAATTTTTTAGGAAGTGGTGTCCTTTCAAAATGTACTAAAAACTTAAATCACGGAGTCGTCCTTGTTGGTGTCTCAGCTGATGGTGTTTGGAAGATCAGAAACTCATGGGGAGCTACTTGGGGAGAAGCTGGTCACATCAGACTTGCAGGAGGTGATACTTGTGGTATTTGTGCAGCTCCATCTTTCCCAGTATTAGAATGAAGACTATGATTATTCATACATCAATTTATCAACAATATTAGTTATTTTACAAACTATTTACTTGGTTTAATAATTACACAGAAAATTAATCAGTTTTTTTAATATTTATTAATGGGTTGCGGATCTGCTAAACCAGTGAATGTCTAAGAAACAGAATATATAAATTCATCCAAAAATCATTCAAGAACTAGTTCAATTTCAGAAGGTTAAACTGAAACTACCAAGTTATACAGAAGAGGTTATTGTATTACAATAAACAAATAGCAAACTATCTCATAAAGAATGAGAGATATGAATAGGCTATGCAGCTATTAGATCGAGTATTAGAAAATGATCCAGATTTTGCTGATGCTATATACTGTAAGGGTATATAATTGAAGTTATTTTCTTAATAGGAATAGTTGAACTGAACAAAAACAATTTAGAAGATGCTAAAAAATATTTTCAAATTTCTCTTGATAAATAACCAAATCATGCTCTTGCTCTAAATGAATTAGGTATCTCTCTAAAATTTAATTATTCAGCTAGTTTAATGATCAAAGAAAAATAGTACAAAGAAGCCTTAGAATATTTAGAAAAAGGATTTTAGGTTAATCCCAACATACCAGACTTAAATTATGGTTTAGGTACATTTTAATCATATTCCAAGGCTATGTTTTAGCAAGATTAAAAAGAAAGAGTGAGGCAATCAAATATTTTGATATGGCGATAAATTAAGACCCAAATCAAAAACATTATTATGTTAGTAAAGCAACTACTTTATCTGATTTAAAATAATATGATAATGCTTTGGAAGCAATATAATTTGCTCTCAAAATTGATTCTCAATATCTTGATGGATATTAAGTATTAGGTAAATATTAATCATTTACATTAATAAGTATATATATATCGCTAATCAAAACAATATGAAAAAATGGAAAAAGCCTGTGATTAAGTTCTTAAATTAGATAGTTAAAACTAATATGCATTAAATTGCTAATAAGAAATCCCAAAGAAAATATCTTAATAATAACCACAGGTCTCATAGGTGTAAATTTCTGTAGAGGATTAATTGAAAGAAGGTTTAATCAAATTCTAAGATTATAGTGCGGAAGTTGCAAGTAGAATAATAGTACACTTAAGCTTTGAGTCTCTTAAATTTAATTTTGGAAAAAGACCCTAAGCATTTATAAGCCTTAAAATTAAAAGCTTAAATATAAATTGAATTAAAATAATAAGCAAGTTGTTTGGTAACACTGGATTAAATTCTTACCATTTAATAGAATGATTTAGGTACATTAAAATAAAAGGGTATAAAAATTGATCATTTTGATTATAGTGACAATCTTAGAATATCTGAACAAAAATGAAGAAGTTTTGAAATGTTATGAATTAATCATAGCTTAAGATACAAGCTTTGAATTATTAGAGAAGAAAGGTTAGTGTAAAAAATATTTATATAGCTTCTACTTTAATAAAGCTTGATAGGATTTAAGAAGCATCAAACATTTATGAATAATTATCATCATAATCAAGCAAGGATGATTCAAAAATATTTATTATTAGAGGTATTACTAAATTTGTATATATAGGGAGGTTACTATAAGCACAAAAAAAATATGATGATGCTATCATTTGTTTGAATGATGGATTAAATAAATTTCCTTAAAACTAAGAAATCTTAAATTTGTTAGCATAAATGTATAAAGATACACAATAAGAATAAAAAGCACTTGAAATATACGATAAAATTTTGAACATTGAACCAACCAATGAATAATATTTATTTGAAAAAGGTTTAATTTATAATAATTATTAGGTTCTATATTGTTTAATTTAAATAATTTTAATGAATCATTTGATATATTGAAATAGTTAAAAAAAAATGAATATGCCTAAAATATCAATTATTACCTTGGTATTTGTTGCAATGAAAAGAAAGAATACATGGACGCATTAAAATACTTAAGTTTATATATCAAAACTGGTAAGGAAAATCTCGAATAAGTCTATTTCATTGTAATAAATTGATTAATATATATATAGATGGGCAGTGCTAATCTATTTTTAATGAAATTTGATGAAGCAATTGATAGTTATTAAAATTGCATTAATTTAAACCCTAATAATTCTGAAGCTTATTTTTAACTTGGAAATGTATACAAATAAGATAAACTAATGGAAGAAGCACAAAAATCTTTTGAATAAGCAGTTAAGATTGATCCTTAAAATAATTTGTATAAATAAGCATTATGTATTTATATATTTATATTTATTTAGATAATATAATAAATGAAAAATCATTTTTATAAGAATATAGAAATAGTCTACTTTTTACAATGATTTCATTTATTGGATCTTGTTAATTGGATCCAAAATCCTAAGATTTTGAGAAAAAGCAAAATGAAAAATACTTAACTTTATTAACTTTAATGGAAGCCCATCTAAAAAAAAGATTCAACACTATAGATAAACATTTTGAATAATTAAAAGAATTGATTGGTAAATCATATGATATGAAATTAACTTTAATTGATGATACTTTGTTCCCTATTATGTAATTTTGGCATAATCAAAAAATCTGTAAAAAAAAGAAAGATAATAATGATTTAGTAGTTTCTATGATAAATGCTGCTACATCTATGATTAATTCAAATAATGAAAAGATATTAAGATACATTTAAAATGAAAAATCTTTAAATAATCAATTTTGTATTGAATTTTTATAAAAATGTTAACATGAATCATATTAAAAGATAAGTGGAAAAATAGGATTATAAGATGGAATTAAAATACTTGGATTTTTAATTAAATATCACAAAGAATTCAATTCTGATATAAAAAGTTTTGCTGAATTCATTACAAATAAATACTTAATTGATGAAATATAAAATTTTCATGATTCATATTACCATTAAAATGTTTGATTAAATGATTTTATTTGATTAAATTTGATAAATTATAAAAATGTATATATTAATATAATTATTAACTGTAATATTAATTTATTCAAATTTTCTAAATGCAATACATCGATGAAAATGAAATGGGATAAAAAAGCAGAGTCCCTCGTCTAAGTATGGGGGAGAGATGTTTTGGAAAGGATTTATCTAATTTTAGATAAAGTAAATCATAATCTTAAACTCAAAGAATAAAATTTGATGAATTAGATTAAATTGACAATAAGAATAATAATAATCCATAATTAGTGTCTGTTTATGCTAAAGATATCTTTAAATATTGTAGAAGCAAGGACAAAGCACTTGATCATACTTATATTGATAAACAAATAGAAATCAATTATAAAATGAGATCAATATTAATAGATTGGTTAGTAGATGTACATTACAGATTTAATTTGGTTTCAGATACATTATATTTAACCATTTATATTATTGATGCATATCTATAGTCAATTTAAATATCAAGAAATAAATTTCAATTACTTGGAGTATCTGCTCTATTCATAGCTTCTAAATATTGTGAAATATACCCTCCAAAATTAAATTATTATTCAGATGTTACAGATAAAACATATACAAAAGAAGAAATTTTAGAAATGGAGGGTAAAATATTAATGTAATTGCAATTTGAAATATGTTTTACAAATCAACATTAATTCTATGAGAGATATTAACAATTAATATAATTAGATTAAAAATCATATTAATTAGGAAAATACATTCTCGAATTAATGTTATTGGATCATAAATTTATTTAATATAATCCAAGTTTACAAGCAGCCAGTGTACTATATTTAGTATAAAAGATTTATAAAAAGTATAGAAATCAAATATATTAAATAGATCTTAGAATTGTTGGCCTACATATTTAGAAATACATTCACAATATACTGAAAATCAAATAAGGCCAGTGGCAAAGGAAATTTGTTAATAATTGTGCCAAGCAAAAATTATGTCATTATAAGCAATACAAAGAAAATATAGTTCACCAAAATTTCAAGAAGTCTCTAATATTTAAATTCAATATAAATGAATATAATTATTAAACTAACAATTTAGTTTCATTTACGTTCGAGATAATGCTCATTTTTTTTTAAGTATTAGTAAATTGATTCTTCATCTTATAATTCAAGTGCAATTAAATACTCTTCATAAGAAAAGTTTTATTTATCACATGTTAATATAGGTAATTCACATATTATAAGTGAAGCTTAAGCTTAGATTTCTAATTTTAGCCATTCTATATTTGGTTTTACTATTCCCTTTCTATCTTTAATATTCTTGTATATCTACCCATGAAAATATGTATTACAAACATCCTTTATTTTATCATTCAAATCATCATTTAAAAACCATTCAACTTTCTCTCTCCTAGATTTATCTAATTTTTCTGCTTTTGCTTTTGCTGAATTTAATAATAAACTTAATTCACTTTAAACAAGTTAATTATCTTACTTAACTTTATTAAGATAATTTTCATATTCTTAACTTTATATAATCTCTTCCCAATCATCAATATTAAAAGAATTAACTTTTTACTATAATAAATTTTCAATCTACTTTCTTAATTATAACATTCGCTTAAAAACCAAAAATAGAGGAATAACCCAAAAATTTTATAATCCATTAAAAAATGTTAAACATTTTGCAACTGTCTAACCAATTATATTGATGGCTTCTAAAGATCTATTGTATTTTTGTGAAAATAGGTGTATTTATGAATTATTTCGTTTAATTAATTGAATATAATTATCTGCATTACTTATATTATTAACACTAAGCTATTGTTATGAGTATTATTATAATTAAGATTTTGTTTATTAAATAGATAATATTTATTAATGTTATTATTATTAATCTAAATCACAATATTTAATAATTTATTATTATTATTATTATTATTATTATTATTATTATTATTATTATTATTATTATTATTATTATTATTATTATTATTATTATTATTATTATTATTATTATTATTATTATTATTATTATTATTATTATTATTATTATTATTATTATTATTATTATTATTATTATTATTATTATTATTATTATTATTATTATTATTATTATTATTATTATTATTATTATTATTATTATTATTATTATTATTATTATTATTATTATTATTATTATTATTATTATTATTATTATTATTATTATTATTATTATTATTATTATTATTATTATTATTATTATTATTATTATTATTATTATTATTATTATTATTATTATTATTATTATTATTATTATTATTATTATTATTATTATTATTATTATTATTATTATTATTATTATTATTATTATTATTATTATTATTATTATTATTATTATTATTATTATTATTATTATTATTATTATTATTATTATTATTATTATTATTATTATTATTATTATTATTATTATTATTATTATTATTATTATTATTATTATTATTATTATTATTAATCATTTATTAATTCATTTTATTATTAATAAATTTATTACACTTCTTCTTAATTTTTTGATAACTTTTTTTAAATGTTTTATTATTTACTTGGTTATTCTTACAAAATAGAATGCGTAGAACTATTTCTTGGCTTTTATTATAATTTAATTGTATCCCCTTTTATTGATGAAACCCTAGATCTTATTTTCTCATAAAAACAATCCTATTTTTAAGGAACTTAATTGCTATTTTCTTATATAAATTCTCCAGATTTACGATTAGAATCAGATCCTACATTTTAAGTGCTGTTTTAAGTTTAATTTCTAAAAGTTCTGTATCCTAAATTCTATTATTTTATTTAGGATTTAGGTAATATTTTAGTAGAATTTAAGAAATTATTAAATCTACTTGTACTAGTATTTGTTTAAAGTATTTATCTACTCTATTATGATGTGGATGCATGTCTATTTTAAACAGATGAATAAGAATTCCCTAAAGCATTACGTACTTTGTCTTGATGTACTTTAAATAAATTGCTAACCTTTGTTATTAGTGATTGATTAAGTATATTTTAATCACAAGTTTTTGGATTCTTTAATCCATAAGGACAAGGCATAATACTAATTTAATTACTATTTTCATCTCTATTACTCATTCTTGATGAAGATCGACCTTTTATTTCAGTTCTATTGGATTTTATTAAGAAATCCTTGAGAATTTATTTACATAAATTATCTTCTCTAAAGGCTGGATGATTTGGGATTTAATTCCAAGGTATTGGATTCTCTGGATCTAAAAGAGAAGATATTAAATTTTGGACTGATTACTTTTTATTAGTTATCATGGAACCTATATCTAATCTCCCTCCTTTTAACCATTCATTTATATGCTTTTATACTTCATTAAGAATGTAAGTCCCTTATGTCATTACTAAATACATGATTCCTAAAGACCATTAATAAGAGGATCTATAAGGTTTACCCTTTAGTATAAGAGGATTCCAATAAACACAATACTTTTCTGTACGTTTTCTCAAACCAAAATCTAGAATAACTATTGAATCATCATTTTTAATTATATTTTCAAGAGTACAATCACGTGGAGAACATCCAGTATAAAGATCATATCCAAAATAGATTAATAATAATTTTGAGAGATCTCCACTTGTTAAAAACCATTAAGTCACATTCTCAATTAAGACATCTGTGTATGTATTAGTTCTAACTATCTATAATATAGAAGGAAGTAAACAAATTTGAGGTTTGAGCATCTTACTTTCCTTTTATGGTTTAATACGATGTTGAGAATCAAAAAAAGCCAATTCTTCATCTAAATACATAGTATTATTCCACCTTGCTATAATAACTTATTCATCAGATAGCTTCAGCCGTCCTCTTAATGCAGTCCATTGATCACATTACCATATAGGAAATGTTATAGTATAAGGATGATTGGACCTCATTAATTATTTATATTATAAATATTTCTATGTGAATGTTAATTAATTATTTTTAATAAATATGTAATCATGTAAAGTAAGACATATATTTCCTATAATCTAATTTTTTAGAGTATAATATTTAGTAAATATCAGTTTCAATATTTAATAAATTATGAATCTAATTAAAGTAAATAGAAAATAATTATTCTATCATTAAATTTATTTGATATTTATTTTTAATATATATAATTAAATTAGTATTATTTTCCTATTTATATAGATAACATCCTTAAGTATTTGATTTTAATTATGTTTATAACTTTAAAATGAATAGAATTATAATTTGTTAGATTTATTACATATTAAATTTATAATTACTAAATGTTATTAATATTAAATAAAGAATGTTATAATGATTTAACAATTGATTTCTTAATAATATGAATTATATAATATTATTATTTGTTAATCATTAAGTAATTATTAATTATAAGAGTATTATCTCAAGATATAAAATATATATAAAAAATAATAATCATTAATACTTAGTTATCATTTGAGCATCCACAATTTCTTATTTAGGATTACATTTTAAAAGTATTACAAACAATTAATTGGTATCAGCTTCTGGTATCATCAAAGCACAAGGACCACTATTATTGTTTATACCTTAAAATCCATAAAAACCTTTTTTCATAAATTAGAATTATCTATTTTTCCATGTGTATACAGTTGATAGATCTCCATTTTCAAATGTTGCTCTACAGGTGTAACTCTTAGTTTTTAAGATTCTTTTAAATATATCAAATTTCAATAATTAATCACAAAGTAGACACATATCATTTGCAGTTGTTACATTATTTGGATCAGCTAGACCTTCTAAATTTGTATATCTAGTATTATTCATCTTTAATTATTATGCATTTCGATTAAATAAGTCAAGAAATTTGTTTTTTATTAGATTTCTTTATGTAATTCCATATAATTTTTCACTTAATCCATTTATAATACTCCATAAAGCATCATTACCACTTCTAAGAATAAGTGCATACAAAAGTTATTCTAGAGTCAAATAATTAAAAGAATTTAAATCTGCTTTAGGTTCTGGTACACTTTCTGCATAATAAGGTACTAAAAATTTCATTTTATAGTCCTAACATAATTATAATATAGTATAAATTGCCATCAATTTAGTTAAGCATCCAACTTCACATTTGGTATTTTCGTTGACACCATAAAACTTTGAGTTACTTTGATAAGCACACCATCTTCTAGCTGACACTCTTAATGTTAAAAATTTTGGAGGTGTATTCTCTTTAACTTATGTAAGGATTCTTGTAGATTTTCTGGTTATAGGCCTTTAAATTACTTAAGAATAAGAACGAATTCTATCTTTCTGACTCCATTTGTTTGAATTTAAAATGTTGATTTTCTTATTAGAACATGTGCATTAAGAGAATTGCATTAATATAGGTTACTCATCTGGAATATATGTAATACCATTAACTCCACAGATTGTAGGGATTATCTCACAAATTCGATATTATTACTATTTGCTTTTATTGAAGATTGAATAGTTCTTTACTTTCATAAAAAATAAAATATTATTCTTATACATAAATATCATAGTTTAAAATTACTGGAAACTACAATTAATGTATGTAGATTTTTTTATTTTTTACAGAGAATATAGATGATTCATGTGAAATAATGATGAATAAAAAGAACTGTATATAAAGTTGTTAAGTATTAAATAAAATATATTTACAGTAGATATGCATAAATAATTATTGGTTGATTTATTAATTATTTATTAGATTTTCTTGTTGTTTTCATTTAAATCATCAAATAATAATCAGCAAATAATTAATTATAAATTATTTCAATCTAATAATAATAATATCACAATATTTCTAATTGGTAATAAGAAATCTAAAATGAATAGATTTGTAGTCACCCATTAATCCTTTATATTAAATTTTACAGACTAAAATAATAATGATTAATAAATACTGTTGAAACTAATGAAGTATCCCATAAAACAAATATTAAAATTATACTAATTATTATGATAAAAATGTATTAAAGTTAACATATCTATAACAGAAAATAAACTAATATTGCTATTAAAACATAAAAAACAGTATAATTTTTATTTAAGACAATATGCTGTCTTAATAAGTTTTAGTAAACATCTTCTACTTAGAATGGTTAAAGTAACTTGTCTAATATTATTCTAATTAACATCTTATTCTCTTTAATGTATTTATTATCCTATAGTATAAATTTAATTTTACCTTAAATAAATTAGAATCTACATGGATAAAATAAATTAGTATATAAACTGTGGCTAATATATAAAAAGTCCAATTATTAGAAGTTTATGACATCTTATTATATATAACATTAATGATAAATGCCAACAATGTTAAGTATGTTATTTTTTCATTTTATTTATTTTGAATATTAGAAATAGAGTTATTTATCATAAAGAAAACAATATTCGCCAAATATATCCAAAAAACAAGTTATATATATTCTAAATAATATTCTATTAGAATATTATTATTTCATACCAAAATAATTTCTTATGTATATTAACATTATCTGTGTAAACAAAAATAAACATGGATATAAAATAATAGTAAATAGAAATGCTATTTTCCTCTAAATATTTTATAATAAAAATTTACTAGAAAAATTATGCTTCTAATAGATTATTGGAATATTAAAAATAAGGGATAAGCTATTAAAGATAATAAATGATGTTAATTAGGCCAATAATTCCAAATTTAATATATTTCTTTCCTATATTTTCCTTAATCAATTTTTTTTTGACAATACTCTGTATTCTAACAATATTCTTAAAATTAAGCGCTATTACTCTCAGCTCCCAAAGTTTTATCAAAAAACCATTCATCCATCTATACATAATAGGAAACAAGTATTATTATTGCTTAAATAAAAAGTAGAAAATAGAATAGAAACATATTTTTCTTCTAGACATTATCATTATTTTGAGATTTCTTCGAAATTTATTTTTCATCTTTGTCATTCGGGATTTACCTTTTTGTTGATATTGAGTCTTCTTAACATTCATATTAAGATTTATGAGACATAGGAAATAAAATTAATATTTATATTATATGATTTTTTTTTTCAATACTTTATTAATTAATTATTATATTAATAATCTTACTCTTATTTTATGAGTATATCCTCACTTATAATTTACAATAATATATAAAAATTTATTAAAAGATATTTAAATTAATAAGTTTATTAATTCTATCAATCTAATAATAAAAACATCACAATATTTCTAAAAGGCAATAATAAATCTAAAATAAATAGATCAGCTGCTAACCATTAATCTTTCAATTCAAATTTTGAAGACTAAATTAATAATAATCAATTATACTGTTGATACTAATGAAGTATCCAATTATATAAATAAAATAAATTGTATGATTATTGCTATTAAGATAATTAGGACATTTATTGATGGTAATGTTTTAGTGAAATATATAATAAAGGGTAATATAATAAATATTAGCAAGGCTTTATCTTTCTTTATAACAAAAAATTGATTAATTTGTTCTTCTCTATTAAAAAATGGTATTCTTTCAAAAAGTATTTTAATTAATGGTTTCTATTGTTGATTATATTTATTATTCTAATGTAAATGAAATAAAATATATACTTAAAATAAATTGGAATCTATATGGATTAAATACATTTAAATATATGCATTAATGATTAAATATGGTATCCAATTATGATTATTGACAGTGATTATATTATACAATAAATTAATAACTAATAATAAAAATAGGATATATAAAGTTTTTCTTTTATTTTAAATTTTTATTCTTAAAAATTGTTAGTTAATGATAACAAAAGTAAGATTTAAAATAAACAATGCAAAACAAATATTAATAGACATTATTAATTCAGCTATGATAAATATTATATATTATTTACGATAATATTGTTTTATTATTAATGAAACTTGATGGATAAAAACTTCTAAAAAAGGGTATTAAATCCAATAAAATAAAAATGCTATTTTTCTCTTATAAATATAAAATGAAAATTACTAAAAAATTTTGTTCTTTATTCAATTATTTTAACATTAATATTAAAGGATAAATGAATATATAGCAATAATTTTATCCTTAAAAAATTGTAGTATATATTTCTGATATAATATTAATGGAAACATTTTGATTATTTTCATCATCTTAAAATAATTTATATGTATACAATTACTTTTAATAGTCTAATTGAAATTTTCTAAAGTTGTGAGATTAAATCTAATAATGATTACTAAAGCTTAAATTAAAATAAGCCAATAGAAATAAGTGTTCATTATAAAATAAATTAATATATTAATTTTATTAAATAGTATATGATTTTAATAATAAGTTTATTTTGTCTAATTGTATGAATCTATTTTATATTTTATATTCATTTAATAAGTACTTCATCAAAATAATTTTACTTTCTTTAATTTTCCACTCTTTTAAATTTATTCTCTAATTTCTTCTATATCTTATGGTTAACTTTTTTAAATTTATTATTCACCATGATCATATTATTATTAGTCTTCTTCTTCTCCATCTTAATTTTATTATTATTATTTCTTTAATTATTATTTTTTCTTTTTCTCCTCTAATTTTTTTTATTATCTTTATTTTTCATTCAAAAAGTATTCTCCTGATGCCATTAATAAATCTTCCTTTCTTGGTTATTATTCAGGTGGGAATGGTGTATATTCTTAAATATTAATTATTATAATTTACCTTTCTTTTTTTTAATAACCTTCTTTTTTTTTTAATTTTATTTCTTAAAATGAGGTAAGAATCGATCCCAATTTTCATTTTACATATTTTCATCTTTAGATAATTCTCTCTTAATCATAAGTTCTTTAATACTATAAATTGGATGTACATTTTACATAGTATCAACTACAACTTTTCGAACAGTCTAATATATAATATAATAAAATAACTTTTAAATTCTTCCAATTTCCAATCACAGAAACAGTACTACCTTAAACCATTATATAACAATCTGTTAATAATTCTAATGCTTTCAATGTTGCTCCATTTGGTCCAATTAATCTTTATCTTCTTTTAACAAATTTCTCTTTATTTCTTGTATAGCTTCTAATTTTTATTATATCACAAAATGTTCCATCTTCTAATAATCTTAAACATTATTAAACAGGAACACTTCTAGCCAATAATTTAATAATATCTCTAGCTTTCATAATTGCCCATGGATCCCATGTTTTATTTGTTGTTTTTACTGTTAATGATCCTTCCATTAAATTTAATTCAGCTCTTATTCCATGATCCTTTAATGATTTTTTAACCATTCCAAACACTTCTTAAATATATTTCTCTCTATATTTTGGAAATAAAGTAGCAAATGAACTTTCAGCTAAAAGACTTCCATTCATTTCACCAGGTTGAATTTCTGGTATCTTCCATTTATCTATTGTTGGATCATTATCCCATGGTTTATCCTTTCTATATTTTTTATGATTTTTAACAACTTCTTATTATTCAGACATTCCAATAACACGAATTAAAATTATACTTTATTAATATTTAATTATTAATTATATATAAATTAATAAAATCTAATTCCATTTTATATTTTATAATCTCTAATCCAATTCAATCATAAAAATGAATAATAAACTATATTTATAAATAATTTATATGTAAAAAAAATATATCAATTCAAATTTAAACTAATTATTTTATTATAATATATTATGATTATCTTATGTAATTAAAAATTAGGTATCTAAATGTATTTTTGAATAGATAAATAAATGAAAATTAAAAAGATGGTTTATCTGTGATAGAATTAACATATTTGATGTAATAAGAATAAAATTCTTAAGCAATAATTATTTTATGGAGTAATAATAAAAAGCTTAAGCAGAACCAAATATCGAATAAGACATTAATACTGTATTTGATAATTTAGAACGCATAAGAACTAATATTAATTGTGAAATACCATAAATTCCTAAGGAGAGCATAGTACTTATCTTTCTTGGAGAATTTGAATAAAAATTTCAAGTTTTCTTTTAACACTTTTAGATTAAACAAACCATAAAAGATGAGAAATATTTTAAGATAATTAGAATAGAAAAATAAGGAAAAATTAGTTTTTTATTAAATTTCCCTTTGATCTTATAATACGATGACTAAAATAATGAATAAGCATTGAATTTATGCATTTCAAAAATATATGCAGAGTAAGCATTTCAGAAAATGGAAAATTGCAAAATTTAGTTAATTGTAGATGTAAATTAACTAAATGGAGATGATGATAAGGCAAAATTCAATAGCATTATAAATGATTAAGTTTTTTACTTTGGAAAATATTATTTTAAGGAAAATACATTTTTATTTCTTAGGCCATAGAATGAAGACAAGTGGAACCTATAGACAATTAAAAAATTTCATTTAAATAAATAAAAAAATGAAAAGGAATATCAGGTTAACTCTGATTTTAAAGAATTAAAAGATAATGAAGTTTTAAAGTCAATCTTCTAAGCTACATCAAATTATTCTCAACTAAAAGTTAATTCAGATAATTGTTTGAATTATGGAAAAATGAACGATTATTTAAAAGATTTCTAAGAAATTTTAACTCCATAATTTGATAATCTATTAAAACAATTTTAAAAGCAACTTCTTATTATATAATAAATGCCAATTATTCAATCTCAAGATGATACTATTAAAAAAGTTGGAAATTATTTCAAAGCATTATAAGTAGATATTATTAATGAAGAGAATCCACTTACAAATAGTTTTGCTGATATTAGTAAAGTTTTTACATTTATAAATAAAGTTAATAAAGAAAAAATAGCAATAGAATTAAATTAAAGAATTTAACAAAAAATAAATAGCAAATAAATGCAATAATTTTTAGAAGATAATAAAATTGAAAAAATAAGTATATAACCTTTTTTTAATGATAATGTCTAAAATAAATTAAATAAAATCATCGATTTTTATAAAATATATCAGATCTTATTGCTATAAACAACTCCAATTGTAGAAGTTTAAAATTTGATAATTAATCTTTAATTTTGGTGCTTATATTGTGAAGAAGCCATAGAAAATATTCTATATGAATTAAATTAAATTGTAAAGAAAATATAAGAAGGACCATAAAATGAAATTGAAAATGGTGTCTATTTTATAGGTGTAACAAAAATCAGGGAAATCTACTATTATTAATACTATTCTTAATCCTGATAAACTTGAAATGACTAAAATTTTAGGTTAAAAATGTTACGAAATTAAATAAGGATTTCAGACAAAATTTAAAATTGGTTAAGGATAGGTTAGTAAGACTTAATAAATTAGTGGAATTTATATTGGAAAAAAGGAGGAACTTGATAATATATTTTATAATTAAGAAAATAATCAACAGATTAATAATTAAAAAGAATAAGACGTTTTTAGTTATGAAGAAATATTAAATAAAGAATAAATTAATTAATTAAAAATTCCTGAAAAATGGTTTATTTTTGATTGCCCAGGGTTTGATGATAATTCTAATGAATAGATGAGAATTGCTCATAGAATAAGTTTATTTAATTATTTCAAAAAAACTAAAAATATTGTTGTTTTTTTTATAATTGATATTTCAGTATAGCAAGTTGAAAATATTAAAAATACCTTTGATCCAATAGGTTGCCTTTTAAATAATAAAAATGATTTATAACAAAATTTTCAGAGTTGGACTAATCTCATTTTAACTAAAGTCAAAAAGGATTAAAGAAAAGAGTATATAAAAGGTTGGAAATTAGCTTATAATGAGTAATTAGAATAAAATTATAGTTTCTATAAATAATTATTTGCTGACGATCAAAGATGTATAGAATTCTTGAGACCCTAAATGAATATGGATTTTAATGAATTAAGAAACTCAATTATTGAAAAAGCAAAGAGTTAACTTTAATAAGAAAAAAAATATAACCCATCTTTTGAGTTTACACTTGATGAAAAAGTTTGGAGGTTATATGATAAATGTATGCCTAAAATTTAGATGAAATTAGAATAATTACTTCAATTATTTTTTTAAGATTTAGAATCATACATTGTGTAAAGTGATGAAACGATAAAGGAGAAAAAGGAATAATTATAAAAATTTTTAGATTGTTTACATAATTAATAAACGAATATAATAATTAGTGAAATTAATGTTAATAATTGTATATCTCTACTTTCAAAATTATCATAATGGATTAAAGGTAATAAATATACATAAAAAATTTGTTTTTTTCTTGAAGCATATATTTAAGATATATAGGCTATTTTAAAAATATCAGAATATTGCAATAATAAAAATATAGTACCATTTAAAATTAAAATAGATATATAAGTTACAAAGATTAAGAATATTCTTAAAATAATTGAAGAGATAGAAAAATAATATCAAAATTGTTAATCAAAATTTTATTGTGTCATTATAATGATATTTATACCTCTAGTAGGGTTTGGTTCTATAAAATGCACAAAATCTATTGCATAACATGTTAGGGATAAAAATTAACCGATAGCAAAAGTGATTAAATATTTACTTAAGTAATAATTTGCTTAAATTATTACTGTTGCAGCGATAAAATAATACTTTATTTATAAACTACCTAAATTAGCTTAAAATTTATTTCCAGAAGAAGAGTAAAATCTTTAATTGAAAGAAAAATCTAAGTAATTTTTATAAAACGAATAATAAGATTAATGATGAAAAATGGAAAATTAATGAAAACAAATAAAAATAGAGAAATGACATTTTAATTTATTTAATTGTCTTTCAGATATTTTAATTTATCATATTTTTTGTAAAAATTTATTTAATTTATTTTCTAGTTTAATTATAAAAAAATCTATAAATATTATTTTTAATGAGATGTTTATGAAAATGTTATAAATATAATATTTTAATTTATTAATGTATCATTTAGAACTATCTTTAATTCTAAATATAAAAATTAATACTAAAACAACAAATATATAATATGTGTTCTTTATAAATATGAGATTTAATATTAATATTATGTACTTATTAGTTATATTTTATGAAAATATATTAATAAATGAATCAATATCAAGTAGAGAAGCTATGATTTTTAAATGACATCATATATTTCAATATATAATTAAGTAGTTAATCTTGGATTATATTTAATATAAATTTGTATTTATCTAACATAAAGACGAACTATGATTAGAAACAATGAAATATTAACAAAGAATGATAGACAAAATTCTCATCTAGATTCATACAGAGCAAAGTTTCAAATTGCTGGATAAACCATTCTTAACGGTGATTCTTCTTTTACTTAAGAACATACTAATAGAAATATCTATGAAAGTAATTCTTTAAATTAAAATTCATAGCTGAAAAAACTAATCATTAGAGCATTCTTTAATAAATAGGATATTCAGTTTCTTAAGAATTGAATTAATAAGAATATTAAAAAAAAACAAAGGCAAGTCCTGTTTCAACAGATTTTTAATCTGCTCTAAAAGTATCAATAAAAGATTCTTAATAAATTTCAATTGTTCCAAGAGGATAGAGTATAGAATTTTTCAATAATAATGATTAATTCATAACTACATCTGAAAGTCCATATAACCCTTAGAATATAAGAAAAACATTTCAATATTGTGATGGGTCTTATGAATATATAAATGATAATATTCAAAGTGGTAGTAGTGATCATACACCAAAACCAATAAAAAGTATGAGTTTGTCAAATAAGACAATTTCAACAAATGATATTCCAACAATGATTAGGGTAAAATTTAAAAGAATAAGAAAATGCTTTTAGATAATTAAAGCACTTTTTAGAATGAAGACATTATGCAAGTAAATATATTATTGAAATAATAGTTAAAAATAATCATGTTGGAATTTGTAGATAGATATTTTAAAAAGAAATTAGAAGATTTTAAAATATAATGAAAGTATTACAATAATAAAAATAAAATAATGGACTTAAATGGTATTTTCTAAGATGATTTCAATAATTCAGTAGAAAAATTTAGAAAAACAAAAATTGAATTTTATTGTAAAATTTTAGTATTAATAAAATTTATAGGATTATCCTTAAACAATGACATCAGTTGAAATTGATTAGGCAATAGTATTTATTTAAAACAGTTTTACTTTTGCAATGTCAAATTTAGTAGTTATGACTACAGGTAAATACTTATTAAATGAATTGAATTTATAAATGCATTAAGATTAATACTTTGAATATCGTAAATAATTCAATAAATTTGTAAGTGAAAGGGCAAATTATTTAACTAAAGAATATACTTAAATGAATGAATAAGAAAAATAATTAGTATTTTGTGAATGCATAATAATTCATAATTTAATACCAAGTTTATTAAAATTAACAAATAGTTTGGAATAATTAAAATGTAATATACCAAATATAGAATTTTTGATTAGATGTATAATATCTCTATTTTAATATTTCTTTATTATTCATTTTTCTGATTATCCAAAAATAGAAATGAAGAAATAGAATATTAAATATACTTAATATTAATTAATAAAGAATGGATCATAATTGATTTTGAATTAAAATTAATAATTAAATTCAGATGAATTTATTAATGGAATAATATATACATAAGAATAAATGTAATTAATATTATAGAAAGAGAGTTGGTTTTAAAAGAATAAAAAAAAGATGAATATAATTTCGTAAAATCTTGGTTTTGTAGTTTGATAAATAGACTAATTAATTATTTGTAAATGGAATACAATTGTAAAAATGATTATATTATTATTATTTGATTAATTTCTATCATTCTAATTCTAAAAACTAATGAGTATATCAGATGCTAGACCATTAAAAATAGTTGTAGTAGGAGATTCAAAAGTAGGTAAAACAACTTTAATTCATAATTATCTCGAATAAACTTTGGGAAGATTATCTACATAAAAATAACAATTAGATTATTAAATAATTTAAGTTCAAATTTAGTAAAATGAATATTGTGTAGCAATATGGGATGCTGTTGGATTAGAATTATAAAATTAAATGAATCGCTTTTTAGTTAAAGATGCTCATGTAGTGATGCTATGTATTGATTTAAGTAAATATATTTTAATTCAATCAATCTATACAATGATGGATACTCTAATAAGTTACTGTCATGAATAATGTCAATTTGTTTTAGTTGGAACCAAATAAGATTTAAATTCATAGAATACTTAAATATTAAATCAATTTTTCTTAGAATTATAACAAAAATATCAAAACTTAAAACTATTATTAACAGTGTCAACCTATAATGAAGATTCAATAAAATAAGCATTCTAAAAAACCTTTGAATTGGGGGCTAGTTTAGATAAATCTTCAATAACAATTTTATAAGTACATAAATTAATTTTATAAAGAGTTTTATTTTGTAAAGAAATGAAAATTATTCTGTTTTAAAGAAATGTTCAGATAGAGAAAGTAAAGTATAAAAACATGAGAATTGTTGTTGATTTATTAGTTAATATTCATTTTCTTTATATTTAATGATTTCAATATACACCGGTATAGTAATAATTTAAATTTAATATGTAAACAGAGAAACCTACACCAAAAACAGATGCAGATTATCAAGCATAAGCTGCTGCATTATCAGACTAATAATTGTAGGAGGAAATCAATAAATTGAATAAGAGACTAACTGAACTAAAGACTCTACAATCAAGAGAAATTAATACTAAAAAACATTATGAAGATCAATTAGATAGTACAAAGAAGAGAGTGTATAAAATCATATATATATATGAAGTGGCAATATGACAACACTTCCCTATTTAGTTGCAAATGTAGTAGAAATATTAGACATTGAAGCAATTGATAAAGATTTATAAGATTAATCTGTAACAGATGATTATGCTACCATTTCTGGAAAAGGTGTTGTAATTAAGACTACAACTAGATAAACAATCTTTTTGCCAGTCACAGGCTTATTAAATGCATCTTAATTGAAACCTGCTGAATTGATTGGAGTTAATAAAGATGGATATATGTTATATGAGAAATTACCAACTGAATATGATGCAAGAGGTATTTTATAAACTCATTATCTTAGTTAAAACAATGGAAGTAGATGAAAAACCATAAGAAGATTATACAGATATTGGTGGATTAGATAAATAAATTGAAGAATTAAGAGAAGCTATTGTTTTACCTATTGTACATAAAGAAAAATTTGAAAATATTGGTATTAGGTAATTAATCATATCATAATTATATAGACCACCAAAAGGTGTCTTAATGTTTGGACCACCTGGTACTGGTAAAACTATGATGGCTAGAGCTTGTGCTGCTCAAACTAAAGCTACATTCTTAAAATTAGCTGGTCCTTAATTAGTTTAAATGTTTATTGGTGATGGAGCTAAAATGGTTAGAGATGCATTTTAATTGGCCTAAGAAAAAGCACCTGCCATTATATTTATTGATGAATTAGATGCTATAGGAACTAAAAGATATGATAGTGATAAGAATGGTGATAGAGAAGTATAAAGGACTATGCTTGAATTATTGAATTAATTAGATGGATTTAGTCCTGATGATAGAATTAAAGTATTATTTAATACTTAATCTTTATAGGTTATTGCAGCCACTAATAGACCTGATATATTAGATCCAGCATTATTAAGATCTGGTAGATTGGATAGAAAAATTGAATTCCCATTACCTAATGAAGAAGCTAGAGCTTAAATCTTGAAAATTCATTCTAGAAAAATGTCTGTTGCTAAAGAAACAGTTAATTATATAGAAATTGCTAGAAGTACTGATGAATTTAATGGTGCATAGTTGAAAGCTGTCTGGTATTATTATTAATTAATATAATTTAAGTGTAGAAGCAGGTATGATTGCCTTGAATAGAGGTGGAACATTTTTGATTCATGAAGATTATATTGAAGGAATAGCTGTTGTACAAGCAAAAAAGAAGAGTAGCTTAAATTATTATGCTTGAATCAATTATATAATATATATAATATTTTATGCAATAATAATAAAAGTATGAAATCAATTTTTGGATATATAAGAATTTTTATAAAGATAAAAGAAAGTATTTGCTATTCTAATTATCATAAAATTGATGATAATTTTATTTAATTACATAATGAACATTTAATTAGGCATTTAAAAATTAACAATATTATTTCATTAGATTTTGGTGAATAAAATAATTTGACTATTTAATATTTAGATTAGGATATATTGAAGAATAAGGTAGATGAATAATAAATTATAATATTTATTTGTATTAATCAAAAATATTTATGTAATAATTATTATTCATTAGAATATTATTTAAAATATTCTACATTCTATTATGTTTGGAGTTATTTATCCAAATAAATGTGTACTTGGGTTTTTTGAATTCTCACTTGAATAAGATGTACCTAATCTTGAAAATCCATCTTAAAAATCACTCTTTATGTATAAGTCCTCACTAAAACAAGGCCCATTCTCTTTTTTAAAATATATTGAATATTATTTGTCTTGATTTATTAATTTATGTATAGATTTATGAGTGTATGAAAATAAAAAAGTTGTTTTTGAATGATCGTCAATATTTTTGTCTTCATATACCCATTATAATGGACTGTAAGCACCGAAGATATTTCCACTTTGTGATTTAAATATCATTAATAAATTGCTTTTATTTTAGACACATTTCCAAAATAAGTAATGATTCAAATTTTATTTATTTTCATGAAATATTAAGTTAGTGCTTTTAATTGTTTTTCCAGCATCTAAACTAATTTTATTTAATAAAACATCTTTGAAATAAGATTCAAAAACAATGAATTTATTATTTGGTTCTATAAGATTTAAAAATTATTTGATTTATTCCTTAAATTATTAAATTCCTTAAAACATATCAATTCTATTAATCGTAGTAGATACTGAAAAATTCTATATTTCCTTATTTAAATTACTAGTATCTTATTCAAGATTTATGAATATTTCTTATAACTTTGTTTCTACTTAATTGACAACATCATGAGTTATTGTTTATGATGTATTATTAAGACTTTCAATTAATTCTTTAAATTTAGAATACTCTGATACCTATTTATATATATAATAATACTTTTTCTAATTATTTCCTAAAGTTGCTTTTGTTATTTAATATATTACAAACCTCCCCTTTTAGATCATTAATGACTTTATCTAAGGTTATTTGTATATCCTTAAGATTTGCTTCAATTCTTTGAATAAGATCTCTTAATTAACTTTCTGGGCATTTTGCGATTGATTTCATTAGACTTTAATTTTTATCATCCAATTTAAATTACTATAAGAAATATTCTGGTTCTTTGAAGGCCTTTCTGATAGCTAATTTTTTCCATTTGTCATCCTTAAGAATCCCTTCTTAATGAGTTATTCCCATGCATTCATCACATACTAATTATAGCTTATTTTAATTCCAAATTATAAAAATAATTTGATTATCTGGATGATGCTTACATAATATATTGTTCATTATTATAATTATTAATTTAAATAAAATTTAGTTTATAAATAAAAATAATTAAAGCAATATTTTTGTTTAAAATATTTATTTTTAGATAAAAATCAATATCCAACTGCTGCAGCAAGTTTTTAGTTTCTTTCGTGATTTTCATCTTCAACTTAGTCGAATCTTTCAGCAACCATCTCTTCCAATTGAGCAACTAATTAGATTTCGTTTCTTCTTGCTTAAGTGGCATAGTTATATTCATTGGCAAAGGTTGAGCATAAAGTTTAAGCTTAATCCCAAAGTTATTAGTTTCTTTAGAGTTTTCCTGAAGCAGTTTAAGCAATGGCTGATTGAGTTCCAATACATTAAACTAAGTTGGTTAACTTTTCAGAGAGTCTTTCATTTTAGGCTTCAAGTCTGGCAATAGTTTATCCTAATCTTTCCTTTTAGTCATTGAAGGCAGCAACTGAGGCAGCATTTGAGGCTGCATAATCATTGTAGGCTTCTTGGATGTTTGATCTCAAAGTGTCCAAAAGTTAAGCAACTCTTTCAAGGGCTGATTCATCAAGTTGTCCTTCTTAGGCAGCTAATTAAGCAAAGGCATAGAAGATTGGGGCAAATTTAGCTGTTTCGTTGATGTTAAAGGCAGTTTAGAGCATACTCTTTGAAACTCTGCTGATTTCAGCAAATGATCCTGATCCACTATAGATTGAAGCTAAGATATCTTAAGCTTCATCAATAGCATGAAGAGCATCTTCATAATCTCTTCCTCTTCTCTTGAAGTATTAAGCTTCTGTTTCAGCAGCATTCAAGACTGTGGTCATATGTTCTTAAGCTGATTAGTATTATTATTAGTTGACTTCTTAGATGTTAGTTGTTCTAATTTTAGAAGTACTGCAAACATTTAAGGCAGCAGTAGAATCTCTTAAAACTGTTTGAGCATCTTAAACTTATCTTGATCTAAATTCATGTTCAGAAGCACATTCAGCTTATTATGTGTTATAGATTTCATCATGATTAACCTATTCTGTGTTGACTGCATCTCTGAAATCTCCTAAGACATTCAAAATAGCATCAAGTGGTGACTTGTTTTTCAATTTTGCTTCAACTTCAGCCATAACTGCTGTCAAAGATCTTTTCTTTGAATAGTCAAATGGATTTCTTGGAGCAGCACTGACGCATACTAATACGACTAATAATGTAGCAATCAATTTCATTTTTATTAATGAATATTTCTGAATCGCATTTACAAACTAAATAATATAACTAAAAAACGGATTTTGTACAAAAATATTCGTTTCTTAGTACTCATCAAATTTATTAAATTATTATCTTATATTATCAAACATTTAAATTACTCTATTAATAATAATTACTTAGTAATTGATGTTATCATAAGTAATTCTAAGATGTAGTAGCATAATATATATATGAAAGAATCATATATTTATTTATTAGTTGCAAATTAAAAAATAAATAGGATAATCATATACAACCATTAATTATTGGTTATAATAGAATGTACTAATCATCCTTTATATATATAACTAATATTGTTACAATAATAAAAACTATTTACTTGATAGTATTAATTGAAATAATAATATCAAATAAATTTTAGATGTTATCATAAATTTATTCAATTATTTTTGATAATAACAAGTTTGATTTCAGATGTTATAAATATTAAAGTGTATTTTTTAAATATATAAGAAAGATTTAAACAGATAAATTAATTTTAATTATTTTGTCTAAAAAATAAATTTGATTTAAGTACTAAATTAAACTTTGTTTTAGATAAGATTCTTTAAAACATTGGTTAGAATATAGACAAAAGTAATTTTAGTCTAAACTCATTGAATTTCATATTTTCATCTATTCAAATATCTATTATTATTGAGCAAATATAATTAATATTAATAATAGTATAAAATAAGTAAATTCTAATTTATAATCAATTAAGAGTATATGAATTAATAATATAAAATTATTGAAACTCAAAAACTCTTAATTACTATGTTAATTCTTTCTTAAATACAATAATTATAATATATTATATAATATATAAATATAATTGTTTAAGCAGCAAATTCATTCAGAAATAAAGACTTTGCTATTTGAAGTTACAGGTTTATTTTGTTTGGGATTCAAAATTAAATCCATATCATCTTAACGTATCTCTGAATCTTCTGGATTAAAATATCTCATTGTTGGTTTACGATATTCTTATTTTTGCTAAGGTTAAGCTTTTTTCTATGGTTTTCTACATCTTAATTCACTTAAAAATTTTAGAATATATTATATTACTATTCATAACTCTTTTCATAAGAGTAATTATTAATTTTGGCAAACTTTTCTAAACAAAATGGTTCATTTAATTTTTCATCTAAGCTTCTTCGATCCAAAAACCTTAAGTATTACACTCTTATTGGGTTAGTGAATTTTAATCTATAACTAGGATTCATTTTGATAGGAAGTCGATGAGTTGTATGAATATCAATTGATGGAAGCTTGAAATCTGATTAAGAATGCGATTCCTGTAATTACTACATAATTAATTTATAAATATAATCATTTATCTATAAACTATGATTATTATTATTATTATTATTTTTAACTACTTGTTTATCGAGTTATTTTAGATTTTTAACTAATTTATGATTTTGTATCACTAATAGCTTTTTCTGATTTATTTATTTAAGATTCACTTTCTTTATAATTTGATCTCTTTATAATTTTATTAGGGTTTTCTACATAGTATTTTATAATAAATGATTACATTCTGGTTTTTGAAAAGTAGGTACTTTTGTTCCAATAACAGTTTCAGGATAATTTTATAGAAACTTTTCTATTCCTCCACTTAGTAGATAAACATTTTCAAATCCTTTTTCAGCAAAGAGTGTTGCTGAAGGTATACCATTCTTTTCATCAAAGTGATATATGATAATTAATCTTCCTTCTTGATTTTTCTAATAAAAGTATTATAATAAGAAATTTACAAATCTATATATTTATTGAGTTAATTTATCTTATCTAAGAAATGGAGCAGGGAAATTGATGGCTTCTTTAATGTGATACATTTAAAATTCATCTTGATCTCTAAGATCAATCAGTAGAAATTCAGATTAATCAGTGAGACCAAGTTATTCAGTTGCATATGTAATTGCAGAAACCTATGAGACTTCAGTGAATCTTGTTTTCTAACTATATTGACTTTAAGTATCAAATTATTTCAATTGATCTTATTCTTATTGATCTATTATATTATGTATTGATTCTTATGCAGGTTCTTCCTAAAAATTAAATAATAAATACAATAATCAATTTCAGTAGTGTAGAACATTTAATTCTTTTGAAAATTTCAGATCTCTTTTTTGCTATTGTTGCATTGCTTATAACTTCAATATCTCTAATAGTTGGTCCAGTGTTTAGAGTTTGTTTGACATAATCATATTTTTTATTTCTTGGGACCTTCTTATCTAAAGGCTATAAGAATGTAAGAATAATATATGAATACATTTCCTTTGCCTTTGATATATCCAATTGGCAATTTGTCCATTTTAATTTAAATAATTTGTTAAATAATAATATTCAATATTGATAATGATTTTCAATCTGATACAGGGATAGTCTTTAGATTTATTGGAAATTAATTAATTACAATGTAGAAACTATAAGACTTGTCAAATAATCTTTGATTTATGTATCTTTATCAATATTTGGAGCTTTATGTGATAATAAAAATGATACTTATAGACATAAGATAGATTTAATCTGCTTCAATAAATTCCATTCTCAGAAGAGAGAAGAATCTATTATCTTTGAGGATTGGAATTTTGTGAATAAATAATCCAACTTAATCTGTGATCATTTTACTAATAGTTTCATTATATCTTTGATGATCTATAGGTACACCCTAAATGAAGATTAATTTACTTTTTATATTTTATAATAGAAACCATCAAAAATCTAATATTAGAATGGATCTACAAAACTAATCAATAACATAGCAAAGAATCTTCTTTATCTATTTTCAACCTTTTTTTATATGATTAGATCATCAATAACAATTCCACAATTTTTGCCATCCTAATATTTTCTTCTAATATATTTATGTTCAAGTGTTTATTATTAAATTTATCTTTTAATATGATTTTTAACCAAATATTCAGATTCATTTAGATTCTTGTATTACTAAAAATATTCTAAACATTATGTAATGTCTAAGTAATAGTAAATGAAGATGTACTATTCATGATGAAGGTATCTGGTATAGGGATATCTGTTTTTTGTAATATTGAATAAAGAGATGATTTTTTGAATAATACTTCTATTCCTGGAATATGATTATAAGCTTGAAAATTACATAGAAATTAAGAGCCAATTTCAAAATATTTATGAAAATTAAAGTTCTCCATAAAAAAAATAGTGGCATTAAATGGTAGATGATATAATTTATTACTTTCTAATATTACATCAGGTAATAGATCTTTACCAGCAGTATCTAAAGCAATAGTAATTATATTATCATTAGGATAATCAGTGATTATATTGATAGGAAATTAATGATGTGTTATAATATAAAGATTATTCAATTCACAATAATGATAATCTTTAAGTATATTTAGTTATGTTTATTAACGAATAGGTTCATTAGTATTCAAAATGCTTTATTTAATAGGATTAATATCTTTTAAAGCTTATATTGTATAATCATAAATAGTGTCTACATTATCATCTCCTACAGCTACTAGATCTCCTTTTGAATCATCAATAAATTAAATTTCTTTTTCATCTTCTTCTCCAAATTAAAATTCTTCTTCTTCACCCATCTCTATTTATATATCAACTTAAATCTAATTTTTTGTTTCAGATTCATAAATATGATGTTCAAAAATATTATTTATAAGTAATTTAGTTTCTGCTAAGTTAAACTCTTAATCTTATGTCATATAAGCAAAATAAAATATGAGTAATGTCCAATTAAAAATGAGGAGAAGTGTTAATCTTAATCCTAATTTAATTGAAAGCATATTATGAAAATAATGATTTAAAATGAATTTCAATAAAAATAGAAGAGTCACTTTATTTCAGATTCTAGGAAGAGGTAGAGTCAATAAAAAATAATCACCAAAACATAAAAAGTCAAGTACAATTGACCATGTCTAATTACCATAATTATATGATAATTTCCTAACTGAACATACATTACGTCTTGGTTATTAGAAATAATAAAAATCTATCAAAATTAAAGATGATTTTCCAGTCAATACATCTTTAAGTGTATCAACTAGATCACCTGTAAGATTATAAAGTATTTTGTAATCAGGATAAATCAACATTAAAATAGACTAATTGCTTAACAGAAAGAAATATGTGAAGTCGAGTATACATATGAAGTTACACTGATTTATATATATAAATTCAATCAATCAATTAATCAATCCTTTTATTCCTTTTATCCCTTAGAATATCCTGTAGGATATAAGAGTTTCCTTAATTTCTCTTCTTCTTATAATGGATCATTATCTTCATAACCTTTCATATTCAATATACAAATTTACCATATAATCTATATGCATTAATATCACCTTTAGCATCACCAGTAATAAGTACTGGACTATTTTAAGCAAATCTAACCATAGTTTTAGCTGGCCATATTTATTAATCTTATGGCATAATAGTAAAATATGGATCTAACATATTATTTTTAGTTAAATCCCATAATTCTAATCTACCATCTTTACAAACTGATGCAAATAATACAGAAGTATGAGGAGACCATTCAAAATCTAATACTTCATCTTATAAATTTTATTGCTTTTATACATCAAATTATAAATACTTAGAAATTTGCTTTAGGTAATTCTTCTGTCCAATTCCATAATTTACATGACCAATCAGCACTACAAGTTAAAAAGATATCACCAAAAAAAGGATTACATCTAACCTTATAAACTGGACCAGAATGTCCAAAATAATTATCTAAATATTATTCTGTATATGATTTTGAGCATCTATGAACAGTACCATCTTCAGTAGCAGCTAAATACATAGCAGATTCTCTTTATAAAAAATCAAAAGAAAATCCTGCTGACATTCTAAAATTAACACCTTCTTATAAATTCTCTTTTTATNATTCTTCTTCTTCACCCATCTCTATTTATATATCAACTTAAATCTAATTTTTTGTTTCAGATTCATAAATATGATGTTCAAAAATATTATTTATAAGTAATTTAGTTTCTGCTAAGTTAAACTCTTAATCTTATGTCATATAAGCAAAATAAAATATGAGTAATGTCCAATTAAAAATGAGGAGAAGTGTTAATCTTAATCCTAATTTAATTGAAAGCATATTATGAAAATAATGATTTAAAATGAATTTCAATAAAAATAGAAGAGTCACTTTATTTCAGATTCTAGGAAGAGGTAGAGTCAATAAAAAATAATCACCAAAACATAAAAAGTCAAGTACAATTGACCATGTCTAATTACCATAATTATATGATAATTTCCTAACTGAACATACATTACGTCTTGGTTATTAGAAATAATAAAAATCTATCAAAATTAAAGATGATTTTCCAGTCAATACATCTTTAAGTGTATCAACTAGATCACCTGTAAGATTATAAAGTATTTTGTAATCAGGATAAATCAACATTAAAATAGACTAATTGCTTAACAGAAAGAAATATGTGAAGTCGAGTATACATATGAAGTTACACTGATTTATATATATAAATTCAATCAATCAATTAATCAATCCTTTTATTCCTTTTATCCCTTAGAATATCCTGTAGGATATAAGAGTTTCCTTAATTTCTCTTCTTCTTATAATGGATCATTATCTTCATAACCTTTCATATTCAATATACAAATTTACCATATAATCTATATGCATTAATATCACCTTTAGCATCACCAGTAATAAGTACTGGACTATTTTAAGCAAATCTAACCATAGTTTTAGCTGGCCATATTTATTAATCTTATGGCATAATAGTAAAATATGGATCTAACATATTATTTTTAGTTAAATCCCATAATTCTAATCTACCATCTTTACAAACTGATGCAAATAATACAGAAGTATGAGGAGACCATTCAAAATCTAATACTTCATCTTATAAATTTTATTGCTTTTATACATCAAATTATAAATACTTAGAAATTTGCTTTAGGTAATTCTTCTGTCCAATTCCATAATTTACATGACCAATCAGCACTACAAGTTAAAAAGATATCACCAAAAAAAGGATTACATCTAACCTTATAAACTGGACCAGAATGTCCAAAATAATTATCTAAATATTATTCTGTATATGATTTTGAGCATCTATGAACAGTACCATCTTCAGTAGCAGCTAAATACATAGCAGATTCTCTTTATAAAAAATCAAAAGAAAATCCTGCTGACATTCTAAAATTAACACCTTCTTATAAATTCTCTTTTTAAGATGATTAAACAACTCTTTTAAGATTCATTAAATTAGTATATTCCAATCCTTTTTTCATTGACCATTCAACAATACGACTATCACTACTAATACTAACAAGTGATTCTCCTTTATCTGTTCCTTTAGCTCCTTTTCCTACCCATTATACTTCCCAAACAGAATCACTATGTTTACCTGCCATCTCTTTATTTTCAGTAATAGGTTTATTAGACTTTCTTCTAATATCCCATACAGCTACTATACCATCAACAGTTCCTGCAGCAATTAAATTTGGTTAACTTTCAGAGAATTTACAACAATTAATTTTGGATGGATAAGTAATAATACGTTCAGGGAAAGTTGGATTTTTTAAAGTCCAAAACATTATATGTCCATCAGATGTTTCTCTATTACTATATGAAACAGCTAATAAATCTTTATTAACTGGATTCCAATCAGCACTAGTTACTTTACATTATTCACTTAATTAACATTTGTATGAAAATAATTATGTAATAGGATCTTATTATTTCTTTTCAACAACTTCTTCATCTTCTAATTTATTTTGAAAATTCCTTTTAAATGCTACTCCTCTTTATTTAGGATCTTCATTTAATGTCATCTTCTCAAATTTAACTTCTGGATAATTTCTATATTGAATATATTATTTATGATATAAATTCTAATTAAGAATTCTTTCCACATATTTTAAACTAGTTTATACTTATTGACTTTAATAAATGATTTATTCTTATTCACTAATTTAAGAATTGGTTCTTTAAACATATTATTTCATATATTCTTCTTCTTTTATATCTTATTCATCCTATTTTTATTCATATTATTTTTATTATTATTCAGGTAATGGATTACTAGTTTTACCATGACTTTTTGTCACTTATTATTAAATATTAGCTTATTAAGATCCCATATTAGTAACACCTTTAGTACCAGTATGACTAGAAGAACTATCTTATATTCTTTCATCTCCACCTTATCCAGTTAATCCCCCACTTAAATTATTGATAGGTTATTATTTAGTATTAGTAGCAATACCACTTCTAGTTTTACTTTATGATTTTTCAGAAGTTTCTTTACCTAAAACAGGTCTTTCAGCATGTATTTTAATTGCTTCTAATTCTGTAGGTAATAAGAAATAAGGATTCTTATTCAATTATTTATACTCATTTTCTATACTTTATTTAATCTCTTCTTATAATATTTCAAATTCATTTAATTGATCAGTTATTGAAGCATCATATAAATCCCAAACAGCTGTAAATGCTCCTGTATCATTCTTTTCTATTTTAGTACATTATTAAGGTTTATGTTTCTATATATAATTGAATGTTTAAGCAAATCTCTTTGTAAAATTATCACTTCCAATTTTCTCTACTATAAATTATTCATATTTTTGAGTTCTCTAAATCTATCCAGTTTTTTTACCATGTTCACTATTTACAAATGATGATGGTCTAAATGTAATATATATATTAGTTTACATAAACATTAAACATTATGTAGGAGTCTCACTTAAATTAATTGGTATATTCTCTTCTAAATCCTCTTCTTTCAAACCTTTCTTCTATTTTGGTTTCTTCTCTTATTATTCCGATTGATCTCTTTTAGAATCTGAATCAGAATATGTGTCTGATTACTTAGATTCCATAAAACTACTTCTCTCTGGATTATTAGATGATGAAACTTTCAAATCAGAATTCGATGATTTATCCTATTATACGTTATTAATAGTACTGCACTCTGATGGAATGATTTCATATTACTATCCATAACACTTGCACTAACTTTTGTATCTGCCGGTTTCTATAATTATTTCAATTTCTATTCTTCCTCTCNCCTCCTCTTTATTTAGGATCTTCATTTAATGTCATCTTCTCAAATTTAACTTCTGGATAATTTCTATATTGAATATATTATTTATGATATAAATTCTAATTAAGAATTCTTTCCACATATTTTAAACTAGTTTATACTTATTGACTTTAATAAATGATTTATTCTTATTCACTAATTTAAGAATTGGTTCTTTAAACATATTATTTCATATATTCTTCTTCTTTTATATCTTATTCATCCTATTTTTATTCATATTATTTTTATTATTATTCAGGTAATGGATTACTAGTTTTACCATGACTTTTTGTCACTTATTATTAAATATTAGCTTATTAAGATCCCATATTAGTAACACCTTTAGTACCAGTATGACTAGAAGAACTATCTTATATTCTTTCATCTCCACCTTATCCAGTTAATCCCCCACTTAAATTATTGATAGGTTATTATTTAGTATTAGTAGCAATACCACTTCTAGTTTTACTTTATGATTTTTCAGAAGTTTCTTTACCTAAAACAGGTCTTTCAGCATGTATTTTAATTGCTTCTAATTCTGTAGGTAATAAGAAATAAGGATTCTTATTCAATTATTTATACTCATTTTCTATACTTTATTTAATCTCTTCTTATAATATTTCAAATTCATTTAATTGATCAGTTATTGAAGCATCATATAAATCCCAAACAGCTGTAAATGCTCCTGTATCATTCTTTTCTATTTTAGTACATTATTAAGGTTTATGTTTCTATATATAATTAAATGTTTAAGCAAATCTCTTTGTAAAATTATCACTTCCAATTTTTTCTACTATAAATTATTCATATTTTTGAGTTCTTTAAATCTATCCAGTTTTTTTACCATGTTCACTATTTACAAATGATGATGGTCTAAATATAATATATATATTAGTTTACATAAACATTAAACATTATGTAGGAGTCTCACTTAAATTAATTGGTATATTCTCTTCTAAATCCTCTTCTTTCAAACCTTTCTTCTATTTTGGTTTCTTCTCTTATTATTCCGATTGATCTCTTTTAGAATCTGAATCAGAATATGTGTCTGATTACTTAGATTCCATAAAACTACTTCTCTCTGGATTATTAGATGATGAAACTTTCAAATCAGAATTCGATGATTTATCCTATTATACGTTATTAATAGTACTGCACTCTGATGGAATGATTTCATATTACTATCCATAACACTTGCACTAACTTTTGTATCTGCCGGTTTCTATAATTATTTTAATTTCTATTCCTCCTCTCTATTCAATTATTCAGCCAATTACAAGAATCTCTTTGTAATCAATCTAATTTTTATATCATAAACTTACTCTTTTGGTGTTACTACACTATCTTTATACTTCACTATAACATTATCCTATGATGATTATTGAGTATCTTTCCCTGTTTAAGGTGGACCTAATTAAGTTCTACCTCCACCTAATTGATTTGGTCTATTTATAAATATTCATAACTACCTCTTAGCAGTGACGTTTGAACGAACATTTGATTTAGTTACTCCTGCTTTTAGTACCTCTGATGAAATTGACTACATTTATTAATTAATGGAATCAAAAAATCTTACCCAAACAATCAATCCCTTGTATTTACTTGCATCATTAGCTTTGGGTACAATTGGGGCTGCTGCCTTTAATGCATTAAGAAAACGCACTTGTGAAAATACTCAACATGTCTTTGAGGAGAATATGTCTGCAACTGCATCTGCTCCTTAATCTCCTTAAAAACCAACTAAAAAACGTACAATTAATAAGTTGATGGCAAAAAATGCTAATGAAAATGAATTAGTCAAAGAATTAAAAAATTTAGAAGAAATTACTTGTGAAATAGAGAGAGTTTCTAATCTAGCTTATGATCTCAAACTTCAAGTATTACCTTTGAATGTAAATCCAATGCTTGGAAATTCAAATTATAGAAGTGTATTTGGTGGAGAAGGTTTTTTACCTGAGACTGCTTTTGTTAATCATGATTGCTATATCCTTTGTAATATGATCTTATTAATTTAGAACATCCTAATTTTGGACCAAATGATTTATTATCAAGAACAAAGAGATGGTTAAGATCTGGTCCTAGAAAACATCTATTATTTAGTCCAGATGAAGTAAAAGCAGGAATTGTAGTTGTAGGTGGATTATTACCAGGATTGAATGTCATAATAAGAGAATTAACAATGTGTTTGTTTTATAATTACAAAGTATAGAATATATTTGGTGCTAAATATGGATATAATGGAATATATAATAATGATTGGATTAAATTAGATCCAAAAATGGTTAAGACTATTCATCATTAAGGTGGATGTTTTTTAGGTACAGCTAGATCTAAATTTGATGGTGAAATGATAGTTGATGAATTAGCTAAAAATGGAATTAATTAAGTTTATTTAATTGGTGGATTAGGTTGTATGAAGAGTGCTGAATAATTATATGAAATCATTAAAAATAGAAATCTCAAAATTAGTATTGTAGTTATTCCTAAAAGTATTGAAAATGAAATACCAATCATAGATAAATCATTTGGATTTGAAACTGCTATTGAAGTATAATTATTAATTAATTATTTAAAAGGAAGCTTAAAATCCTTTAAAAGCAGCATATTAAGAAACCCATTCTAAAAAATATTCAGTAGGAATAGTCAGACTATGGGGTGCACATACAGGATTTTTAGCATTAAATGCTTCTCTTGCCTTTAGAAGTGTAAATATATGTTTGGTACCAGAATTTGAATTTGATCTCTATGGAGAAAATGGATTATTATAATATGTGTATTCAAGACTATAACATAAAGGAACATGTGTTATAGTAGTAGCTGAAGGTGCTGCTTCTTCTTTGAGAGATTGCAAAATTAATGATAAAGGTAGAGATGCTTCAGGTAATATAAAATAAGGAGATATTGGATTATTTTTAAAAAATGCTATTTTAGAATTCACAAGAGAAAAAGGTTTAAATGCTGAAGTTAAATATATTGATCCTTAATATATGGTTAGAGCTGGTAAAGCTAATTCATTAGATTCTAAATTATGCAGTTAATTGGCATAAAATTCAATTCATGCATCAATGGCTGGTTTCACTGGATTTGCAGTTGGTCATGTTAGTAATAAGACTTGTATGATTCCATTAAATGAAATGAATTCAGGAAATTATGCCAATAGAATTACAGTAATATAAATATTATATATATATAGCCATCGAACATATCATGGTAAAGATTATTAGCAGGTACTGGATAACCATCATTCTTAAATAATGAATAAGATATTTGATAAAAATATAATAAAAATGAATAATCATATTAAATTGAAAAATAATTATGCACTAGGCATCAATCCTGCTTCTTCTAAAGTTGTTTAGTCATCTTTTTAAAATACAGTTCTAGGAAAATTCAATATTATTTAGATATTTCTATCTTAATATTCTTTCAATCCAGATACTATTTGATACATATCACAAATTCTTTGATTTCCAAACATCAAAGCTATTAAACTATATTTTCCAGTTTCTGTTCTAAATTTTAATGTACAAACATCTTCTAAATCTTCACCATTATCAATTCTTCTTTAAGCTTCAGTGTCTACTATCCAATTTCCATCTATAGGATCTTATCTACATCCAGCTGATCTCAATTATTATGTAGCATTTAAATTTGGTTAACCAGAAAGTCTTTTTTCAATATCTGATCTAATTGGTATTATTTTACCATTTTTAATTACACATTCAGGTAATTACTTATAATTAAAATATATAAATACTTCTAAAAACTCTTCCTTTTTCATTGGTTTTAATTATTTCTCTGCCAAATCTTCATAACCACATTATTTTTTATCATCAGCCTTTGCTTCATAAACCTCTTCAGTTTTGTCAATTAATTTCAAAGGAGTCCCATTTGGATATTATTATCTATTATTATTATTATTAAATTACTTTAATTAATATGGAAAATAACCTTCCAAAATATCAGCTAATATTTAATAAGCATCATTTGAACCATAACTGAAAAATTTGTATCCTTTCATTGCAATACCATTTTTATAAAATCCAATAGGTAATGGTTCCATTTTTTAAAATTAATGCATACCATTTGCATTTTTTACTATTTAATTAGCTCCATCTTTTTCCATTATATAATTTAATTCTTCAATTCTTCTTTTTATTACATCTATTGAGATTTCTTTAGGTAAATGATAATTAAATAAAGGTTTCATTTATTTCATATCAGATGCCATCTATTTCATTTTTTTATCATCTTCATCACTTATTTTATCACCAACCCATTTTACTCCATATTTCTATAAAAATTTCTCCATATCTTCTATTTTCTTTTATTTTTTTTAATTTTCCTCTTTTAAACTATTAATCTCATTCATATATGCTTATTTATCTCCACTTCCTAATTTTCTATTAATTTCTGTTAATTCCTAGACTTTTTCTCTCAATTACTCAATTATTTAATATTTCTCCTTCAATTCTAGTTTTTGATTTTGTGATAATTTTTCAACATCAGCTAATCTTCTTGCCATTGCACTATTTAAATCCTTAGAATTTCCACTATCCTTTTAACTGCTCCTAATTGGACTTTAATTTTGCATTTTATGTTGATTTAATAAAGCCTCTACAGCATCAAATTATTAAGATGGTTATCCTATTTGATTATATATTATAATTTAAAATTACCTATAGGGAGATCCTTCAAAATCAGATTGGCAGTTTATTAATCTAAAATATCATGAGTAATTTATGGATAATTAAGTGCCTTTGAACCAGCATCTTTTAATACTTTAGGTGGTTTAACATTAGAAGGTTTTTATTTATCAGAAGCTGATTATTTTCTATTAGATTAAACAGGAGTTCCTTATTATTCTTATTAAGGGTTCTTTATTTAGAATTCATTTTTATTCTTATCAATTCCTGCATAAAACATTTATAAATAATTTAATTAGTCTAATTTGATTTAATTTTTATTTTTACAATATATTATTTACTTTTATTAATTTTATAACATTTATATTAAGATATATTATTCTTAATATTATGTGATGATATATAATAATAAATCATAGAAAATAAATATAATAATAATATCAATGAAACTTTTTAATTATCTAAATTAATTAAGTTTCATTTATTGGTTTAATTAAGAAATCAGACATTCCACTATTAATACATTTCTCATTTTCTTATTGATCTGAATAACCACTACATCCAATAATTACATAATTAGGATAATTACTTAATATTCTCTTTGTAGTTTCTTAACCATTCATTGATGGCATTTCTATATCCATAAATACAATTTTGTATCCTTAACAAGAATTACTGCATTTTTTATTTTTTATTTTTTCAATACATTCTTATCCAGATAAAGCTGAATCAACATCAAATTCATTCTAAAATAAATATTTTTTGTTTTTTTATAATTATTAAAATAATCTTCTCATTGCAAATATATTAAAACAGTCATCATCTACTATTAAATAATGCAAACATATTTATTAAGTTGACCAATCTTCTTTAATATGTGATTATATATATTTAAAACTAGCTATTTCTTCTACTTCTTAAATTTATATTGAAATTTCAGGAATCTTAAAACTAGATACTTTTTTTCTAAGTGGTTATTCTAAAGGTAAATCAAAATAAAAATATGAATAATGATTATCTTTTTAATTACTTGATTCAAGATTTAATCCAGTAGAACCTATAGTTTATGCTATTTGATTACTAATAACTAAACCTAAACCAACACCTTATTAATTTAATTTTTTGCTTTCTTCTGAATTAACTTTTTAAAATGCTTTAAACAATGTCATCTAATCTTCATCTGAAATTCCAATCCCTTCATCCATAATTCCTATTCTTAACATATTTGAATTAACTTTTTAAACATTAATAAATATTTTCCCATTTTAAGTAAATTTGAATGCATTACTTAATAAATTAATAATTATTTATTTTATTCTACATCTATCAGAAAAAACAATTTTTGGTATTTAATTAGCAAGATTAAATATTAATTGAACTTTTTTCATTTTAGCTTTTAATTCAAACATTTTCATACATTCTTAAATTAATGTTTCTAAATTAAAAGGTACTTTGTCAATTCTAAATTTTCCATTTTTAATTTATGCCAAATCTAATAAATCATTTGATAAATTTAGAATATAATTTGAATTATCTAATGCAACTTATAATTATTCTGTCAAATCTTAATTATCTTAAATTGTCTAATCATTCATAACACATTCTAACATTTAAATAATACAATTTAATGGTGATCTATATTCATGACTAACAAAAGCTAACATTTTTGATTTTTATTTATCATATTCTCTTAAATATCTTATTTTTTATCTATGAGTAACATCTCTACATATAATAATTATATTATTTTTATTAAGAGTTAATGTTAATTCAATTAATTAATAATTATCACTATTAATCTAAGTTTATGAAGTTTATTATAATTAATTTATTGTAGCTGAAAATCTCTATTATAAATTAGTTTATACAATTAAACATTCATAATTAGATGATTTAAATAACATTTCTAATACTTATTTAAATTAGTATTTATGTATTTAATCATTTAATGAATCTTAATTTGAATTTTTATGTTATGATACATATTAATCTTTTATTTCAATTTATTTCAAACAATAATATGAAGGTCTATTTTACAATTATTATGTAAATTACAAACCATCACCATTTTCACTTCCAGTAAATATAGTAAGATTTTCTAATAAATTTAAAATTTCACATTCTGTATCTCTTCCAAATATAGTTTTTGTTGCATAATTAATATATTTAAGTGAATATGGAAAATTAGGATTCTCTGATTCAGTACCCAAAATAATCAAACCTTCATTTAAATATTATAAACAATGAAATGTTGTTTCTAATATAGTTGAGTCATTTATTACTGTTTCTCTTAGACATGCTGAATTTAGATTCTAATCTAAATCAAATTAAGATGCATTCTTATTAAATTTAAGATTATCAGGTTTATTTGTATTGGTTATTTCAGTTAGTAATACATTAATTTAAGATTGGTGAGGCTTAAAAGAGATAGTACAACAATATAATGATATAAAGAAACTTATCAATAATTAAGGATGTTCAATATCTAATTGAATTTGGATGTAGGAATATATAATCAAAAACATTGATACCATTAATTATAGGATAATGATTGAGGATCTCTTTATTTGTTTTAATTCAAGAAACAAGTCTTTTGTTAAAAGTTATGAAATTACAAATTATGAAAAGGGTATCCTAGATATATTTGAAACATTCATCAAAATTAAACAAATTTAATCTAATTGAAGACAAATAATAGTTCCTTACAACTTAAACTTATTATGTTAAAATTGAAGCATCATAAATACAATTGTAATAGTGGTAGTAACAATTAAAGTTATCATATTGAGTAAGTTGGAACTTATCAAATAGAAATATATTGAATATGAGACTATCATTAAGTGTATGATATTTGCCATAAGACATTTTTGATTTAACATTTTTATTAAAATTACACATTAAATGATCATTTCAATTTTCTGTTTTTTATAATACACATTTAAATTACATCAGAAGATTGTACATAAACATTCTTGATTCCTAATATTTTTATTGATTATCTGATGTTAATCATAATTTTTTTAAGGTGATTACTAACTTGTAATATCAGTATCTTAAGAATAACTAGTTTATTTATTTTCTTTATCTATTTCCATCATCTATAAATAACTAATATAATTTATTTATTTTATTTACAAATCTTTTGTTTCAAATGAATTTATTTATTTTACAATAATAAGTTATTTCTTCAATAAAATATTAGCTTTAGTTATTGCAGTACAATAACTTACTAAATTTTATAATAAATTGTCTTCAATAATAATTTCAATTTATTTTCTAATGTTCTCAAATTATTCACTTAATTAAAGTCGATTTTGCATTAATTCACTTTCTAAACAATTTAGTTCAAATTTAAAATTTTCCGCTATTTACAATAAACTAATTTATTTTGTTATTGTCTCTCTTTATTATTTTAATTCTATATTCTGACATAATTTTGAATGGCAACTCTTTAATTCTATCAAATTGCTTTTGAAATAATTACTATATTCTAAATTACTTATATTTACATTTATTAAAGATATGACTCTTTGTTATTTTTAAATCTTGGAGGCAATTAAGCTATTACACAAGATGGAGATTATTGTCCTTGAAATTATTTATTAAGAATTTCCTGTAAATTTTTATTAATCTTTCTAATCTTAAGAAATGAATAATATTAATACTTGTTATTGTTTTTCATATAAATATGATTTCAATTATTCTTGCTTTTCTTTTGTAAAGAATTCATCAATATCTAATTTAATATTACATGTTGTCTAATTTAATAATTATTATACTTAGAGTTTCTAAAAAATTACTCCTAATTGTTATTTCTCTGAATCATCTTTCCATTATGTTGATAGAATGTAATTAAATAGTTCTTATTAAGTTTGGAGAGCCAATTCAAATTTATTCATAATTGATGAGAAATATCCAAAAAGAATTTATCTAATAATCACATAAGTATTTATTAATATCAATTTGTATGGATTGGCTAACTGATAAAGAATGAATTCAATTCTCTATCTAATTTCTCTCTTTCTTATTTCAGATTCAATCTTAATTTCCTAAGTCCTTATTTAAATTATGTTACATTAAAACTTAATATTATCTTTCCTTTTCTGATTTTCTTCTTGGTTTTTTATAGTTTGGAGATTCAATAATTTTAGGTTCAGGTAATGTAAATTACATAGATGATTCATTGATATTTGTACAAATTGATTATTCCTCTTTCAAATTTCTTTTTGAAGTAATAACCTTTTCTTCATAAGTTTGGGTTTATTCTTCAGAATATGGTACTTCATAGACTTCAACTTCTACATCATTATTAGCCTAATCATCATGTTCAGTAATAATAATTTTTGGTATGGATGTAGATTTATTTAATATTCTTTTTTATCTTTCTTATTCTTATAACTTTTTCTATGATTTTTCTATTGATTCTTATCTTTTCTTATTTCTTTTAAATTTAACTAACTCTAATTTATTTCTTCTCACTATCTTTTTTCTCTCTTTTTCCTTTGTCTCAATATATTTCTCCTTTTTTATTTAATAATAAAGATACATAAACTTATTCCCTCTTTGACATATTATCTAAAGCTTCTTGAAAAGTATTTTCAGTTTTTTCCTATATTAAATTCTCAGCTTTCTGTTTATAATTCAAATATTTATAACTAAGACTTCTAAATTTCTATTTCTCAGATTCTCTTGTTATTTGAATATATTATTCAACCTTTTAAAATTTATTATTCATCTATTCTAATAATTACTAATGTTCCTATTCTATTTTCTATTTTATTTATAAATATATTACTAATTAATGTTGTTCTACTCTCTCCAAATAGATTTTTTATTTCATAGATTTGTAGATTTAATTTTATCTGATCTACTCAGTTTATTCAGCATTCAATATATTTAAACGATGTTCTCTGTATAAAAATTATATTTTACAGCTCTATCTCCTTCTTTACTAACTCATTTTTCTATTTTATTATTCCCAAAAATTGATGCTCTTACATCTAATTATTCTTCCTTTATATTATTTTAGCTTTAATATTAAATTTGTGAGCTTTCTGTTTAATCTATAACTTCTTCTCATTCTTGAATCCCTCAGCTTTCTTCAATGATTCGTTAAGAGATTAACTCTTTAACAATCTATTAGATTCCTCTGATTTCAAGCTAGTGTAAAATTTCTAATGTAATCAAACTCTCTTACTCTAATCCTCTCCCTCTCCTGATTAAACGTAGTGTAATACAATTCATATTATTCGTGCATAATATATTTATTTATTAATATTATTTATAATTATCTAAAAATCAACTGATTAATTCATATCTAATTTCCTATATTTAATATAAATGTATTTGAATGTCATTCAAGAATTATCCAGAACTCTAAACTTAAATATCATAAATCATTGAATTTAAAAGTAACAAATTCATAAGAAACTTTCTAGTATCTACTGTAATATTTTTAAAAGATCGAGTATTAATAGTTCTCACTCTAAATATTGTAATTTAATATCTTCTTAGAATAAATACAGGTTTTTTTTTTGAAGTATTGATTATCCTTCTACCTAATGATTATCAGGATCTTATTTTCGTTGATAAAAATGGGAGTTCTCCCACAAGTCACTTCAAATATTATTATCAATAATAAAGTGTTTTAACTTTTAGATAACATTTATTTTTAAATATTTATTATTTAATTGAGCTATATATCTTACTAAATATTATTATCATAAAAGTTATTCTTAGTTATTTGAATAAAATATGATAAAACTGTAAATATCATATAATTTCTTGATAATATTTTAAATCAAATTTATGTTGAAATATGAATTGATCTAAATTTCTATAACTATAATCTCGATTGTTCTTTCGAAACTTTTAATCCAAATTTTATGGTAGCTTTTTCTCTTTAAATGATAAATTGCGTATAATATCTTTTATGAAACTTAATAAAAAGAATAATATTTTAGATTGGTTTATTAATTATAGATAAATTTTGATTAATATTAAGAAAGTATTCTCATTCTCTCTTTTACTAAAGTTGATTTATTTACAAAAATATTCTCACTTTATAATTACATTTTGATATTTGAATATTGTTATTATATAAACTATTTATTTTTTCTTAGAATGTCACTTTTTAGTATAATATTATTCAATTCATAAAGTATTTTCTTCTTTTATTTTTACAATTATATTATTTTACATTTCATCTTCTACATCTATTATATATAATTATTTCAATTAAAATGTTATTTTTAGGTAGAAATATTAAAATGTAAATGGAATTCATCTGAATAGATTAGTAATAATATAATATTAAATTATTGATCATTACTTGTTTTAAAAATTAGGAATATCAAAAATTTGGTATTTTCTTGATCAATTATTTAAATAAATGATCAAAACTTTTACTTATACTAAATTATTATTATTTAAATTATTTTATATTACTTATTTTTGTCAAACATACTTGTAAATTTAATATATATTTATAACATATTCTATTGATTGAATTATTAATAAAACTCTATAAATGAATCAATCATTTGGAGATATCAATACTTTAAAAGAGAATTCCTTACTATTGTCATATTAGATAAATGGCAGCTCTTTTATTATATTTTAGAGTTGTATATATAACTAACTGAATCTTTTCTCATAAAATTGTTTCTAATATTATTAATACTTAAAATACCCTAAAATTCTAAATAATGTTAAAAACTCTTCTACATGTGTAAATCTTATAATATGTGCTACATTTCTAAGTCTATTTTTCAGTCTAATCATTAATTTAAGGAATTCTTATCCACGTTCTTCTCCTAGAGTATCAAAAACTAATGTTCTTTATCTACAGGCATAGGACACCATAGCTTTTGCATAATTTTTTTGGATATTTGTAGATTTAACTAAAAGGTTAGGCTTCTAAATTTTTTTGATTAGATTGAGTTTAGTTGATTTTGGTCTAGTAGTAAAATCTCTCAAATTATCATTACTACTATCAGAATCTAATTGGCTTTCGGTTTCAGATATAGTTTTTAGTTTTGATTGTCCCTATTGTTAGTTCAATTCAATAGATATATCATTTGTTTAAGTTGTATTTTCTTTAACTTAATTTTGAGAATTAATTATCTATGTATTAGTTAATGCAATTGGTGCTGGCATTATCAAATACTAGAAACCAAATGGGTAATAGAATGGTTATTGTACATAATATGCATTAAAGTTGGTATTTAGCATCAATTTTTTATAAATAAACAAACAAACACAACCGTAAGACTTATAATATTAGACATACAAATTCGGTTTATTCGCTTAATAATTTATATAATATTATTTTGATAATTTTTTAAAATAAAGACATAATTGAAGTTTATATATATTATTTATAAACATTAAACTTTGATACTGTTTAGTGGTGAGGATTTTGAAAAGGAATAAAGAGATTTTCCATTTAAAAAGTTAGAATATGAGATAAGAATAATTTTAATATATTTGACTAGAAATCAATATAAAAGTAGATGAATTGCTTAATTCATTTGATTAATATCAAGATATCGTATAGTATAGATATAAATTTAATCTTGTGATAAATTTAATATTAATTATATGAAATTTTATATTATTGCATTTCTGATATTTACTTCATTTGGAGTAGATATTGATAAGAATACATTTTCGAATTATAGAGAAGTGAAGATGTAACATTTACATATTGAATGGTTATTAAATTTAAGATCTAAGATAATTGATGGATCAGCTGAATATACATTCAAAGTGACAACAGCAGAATTGAAAGAAGTATTAAATTTACAAATATAAGGTTCATTTGGATATATATTAAATGGAAATTAAGTATGCATATTATCCAAATGTTGGGAAAGTATTGGATTGGCATGTAGAATCAGATCCAAAATAAAGTTTAGTTTAGGGAGACAAACTCATAATCAAATTAGGATAATCATACAAATATGGAGATATCTTTTAATTAAGAATAAAATATCAAATAGGAGAAGCAGCAAGAGCTTTGAGTTTTATGAGCATTGAATAAACTGATGATAAAAGTATTAGTTCATATATATGAAATAGAGGCTCCTTATTTGTTTTCTTAATGTGAGGCCAATAATTGCAGATCTATGATACCATTATAGGATACTCCAAGCATTAAATTTACTTATTCAGCAACTGTACTTACTTAAGATTCTTAAATTAATGTATTTATGAGTGGACTTCCTGTTAAAAATAATAAATTTGCATTGATGGAATAATATAATATGAATGGAATTGCAAAGATATTTCAATTTGAATTAAATATAAAAATTCCTGCTTATTTAATTGCTATTGTAGCTGGAACAGTATAAGAAAAAGCAACTAGTTAAAGAACATCTGTAATATCTGAAGCAAAGAATATAGATATTTATCAAAAGGAATTAGAAGATTTAGATAAATATGTTAAATATTTAGAAGACTATATTGGTGAATATAAATGGGGTTTTTATAAAATAGTAATATTACCAGCCTCATTTCCATTTGGAGGTATGGAAAATCCATTATTAACATTTGCAAATCCATCAATTATAGTTGGAGATAAGAGTGGTGTTAGTGTTGCTATTCATGAAATAGCTCATTCATGGTTTGGTAATACTGTTACTTGTAATAATTGGTCTAATATGTGGATTAATGAAGGATTCTGTGTTTTTTTGGAAAGAAAAGGATTATTACAATTATTTGGAGAAATAGATTATGTATATGTTAATTCTTAAGTTGGTACAAAAGAAATGAATGCTTTGATTAAAGAATTCAATTCTAGTACTGATCCTGTTGTAAAATCTTATGCTAGTTTACATCCAATAACTGAAGATCATAATGCAGATGATAGTTTTAGTGTAATATATATATATATATAATTAAATTAGACTATTCCATATGAAAGAGGATATTAATTACTTTTCTATTTAGAATCAGTAATTTCAGAAATCAAATTTTAATAATTATTAAAAGATTGGCTTAGATAAAATGAATATTAAAGTGCTGATGAAAATGATTTTTATAATTTTATGATTGTCTGGATTAAATCAAATTTTACAATTGAATAATTTCTAGCAATCAAATAATAAATTGATACTGTTTATACTAAATGGATATATGATACAGGTATATCTTTTCAATTATTCTTTTAGGTTCTCCTCCTGTAAAATTAGGTTTTATTAATGATGCTTCAATATAAGCAACAGATTTGGCAGAAGATTGGCTTTCATCAAGACCTGGAGAATAACCTTAAGGTTTTGAAATATTTAATCAATTCAAATCAAACCAAAAATAATTATTTTTGTCTTATATGCAAGAAAAATACACTAATTTAAATACTATAACAATGAAATAATTAGATTTAAGTTATAATCTTAGTGATAATAAAGATGCAGAATTATTATTTAGATGGTATACATTATCTATTTAAACCAAATATGCTACAACTAACACTAATCTTAATAAAATTAGAACATTTGTTGGTAAAATTGGTAGAATGAAAATGATCAACCCTATTTATAAAGCCTTAGATAAGTATTCTATTATCCAAATTTTAGGAATACTGCATAAACTTGGTATAATGAAAATAAAAATTTTTATCATCCTTTAGCAAGATAATCAATTGAAAATATTATCAAAAGTAAAAGCCAATATGTAAATGTTGAATTATTATGAATCAATTAATCTATTGATATATAATCATATATATAAATAATACTAATTAATTTAAATGAAAGGAAATCTTAAGTTATATTGGAGAATATCTTATAAACTAAATCAATCATTTATTTAAAAGTATAAGTTTATTTCTTAAAAAATAAACTTATTGTTATTTGCATTATATAATATATATATATATTTTATAAAATGTTTTTCTATCAAGTTACTATCAATAAAAATATTATAATCTAAAATTTGATTCTCTTTACAATTATAATTCTATTAAATTTACTAATTCTATTATGTTCAAATTTGCAATAATATTAACTAAAATCCAAAATTTTATACTCAATTTATTATTTGATGAGATCTATAATTCTATTAAAAATAGAAAAATTATATATGAATTGAATTCATCAAATAATCTCAACCCAAGCCTACCCTAAACCTATGCAAGGGTATAAATCATCAGATGTCTCTATTTTCATTTCAAAATTCTCTGTTTTATTAAGTTTCTTCCATTTAATTAATTTCTGATCCATATCTATTAAAACTGAAACAATATCATATTCTGTATAAGAAAAGGCCTTTTCGCTATTTTTTTCTATTTTCAATGAGGAATATAAAGTCCCATCATTTTCAATTAAATAACAACTTAAAATAAATTATATTTATTTTACCCATGTCCATAAGATTATTCAAATTATGCAATATATTTTTACTCTAATATTTTCTATTTATCACATACACCAATCATTACCCAACCACCTATTTTAAATGAAAATGAGAAACATCCATTTTTGGGTATCTTTTATTCACAAATTACAAAATGATTTTTATAAAGTTCTGGACTATTACATATTGCAATTTTTCCATCATTTTCAATATTTATATTATTATTTTTGTATTATTAAGAGAAACTTAAAACTATTTAAGTTTATTCAACTTATTAAGCTAATTTTGGTTATCCTTCATTCATTGTCTTTAACATCTTAAAAACAGATTTAAAAGTTGGAAATAAAGACATAATTTATTTAGATATCTCTTTAATAGTATTTTAAATCTAATCTTTTACTTTATCAAAACAGCATAATTTTTATATATCACTTTCTAACTATTTGTAATTCAAGTTCTTAAATGATTAATTGAAATCTGTCTACATACTACTTAATATCAATTTAAATTAATTAATGTATTACTAAACTAAATTGTAGTGATTTTAGAATTCCTCATAAAACTTAGGTTAATTGTTTTTCAAATCTTCTAATTTATCCAATTCTTTCAAATCATTATTATGATTACTATGATGTTGAATAATACATTAAAAACAAACTAGCCTCCTTTATGAACATCCAGGATTAAAGCATACTGCTATTATATTATTTTTCTCATGATTCTCAAATTAACAATTAACCATATATTGAATATAATTATTCTAAATTATTTTATTCAATAATAATTATTATTATTATTTCTCAATTATACTAATTAATTAAATGTTTTAAAATGAATATAGAGTGATTAGAAATAGTTTTTAAATTCATATAATATATGATATTCTATCAAAATTATGTTATTTACTAATATATGCATAATTTACATATAAATATTTTGATAATAGACATATTTAAATTCATTAAATAAGATATATGATATATACCATTGCAAATTTATAGTAATTGATTTATGTTAATGTTTATATTAGATTATAATAACAAATAAATAATTATTAATACCATAAATTTAAATGATTAATCCTTAAATTATTAGTTAATTTATTATAATATAAAATGTAAAAGGAAAGAGAAGAGAAGATAATCAAGTAGTTATTTAAGGAGGTATATCCTTAGCCGATTCGCATTAGATACTGAACTATTATAAGAAACTTATGCAGAATACAAATGAGAATGCTGAATTACCATGCCAAGACAATATGGTTGAAGATGTGTAGGTTTGTTTCCGTGTAATGTGCCAAATTGTGGATTCATTTCTTTAAGGATATAATGATCTTAAGAATCAATATAAACTATTGGAAGATCAATTAATATCAAAAGAAACTGAAGCAAGAAAACACATTCAAATTTAACAACAATTAAAAATATATGCTGAAGATTTATAAGACACATGTGAAGAGATGTAAAAATAATTAGAGAAATCTAATTCATAAATAATAGTATAGAAATGATTAATATTATGGAAGCAATTATCAAAAGAGATAGTTAGAATGAAGAAATAAATTAAGATATCTAGTTAAGAGAGATTGATGACAGATACTACATAAGATAGATTATCAACAATTCTATCATAATAGAAATAACAAGTTTAACCAAAAACAATGATTAATATGTCAAAGAAGAAAACATCTTAAAATCTGTAATTAAACTAAATAAAATAGAAAAAATTCAATATCAATATTGGGATAGACAATAACAATGGATAGGATGCATGAATTAACTAATTTATATAATAATAAAAAAACTAAACAAAAGAATGGAATAAAGACAAGATCAAATACAATTCATATTACTGAACAAATGAACAAACCTTAAAAATAAAAAAGAGTTTAATCAATCCATGATGTATGAATACTATTTTAAATATATTAAAATATATAAATTTTTGTTAATTAATTCACAATAATAAAATTAAAAGGAAAACTAAAAAAGTTATAAATGCACAGATAAGCATACACCATAACTTTTTCTTTCCTGATTTTTATTATTCTTATGTTTTTTCTAATTCATCTTATGTCTTAATAACAATTTCTTTAGTTTTATTAACATTAGTTTCAATAATATCAAAGAAAGTATCTTGATGTTCTACTTCTAATGCTAAATCCTATACAATTTTATTTATGGTTTGTGTCTTTATTTGAATTTAATCTATATCTTCTTAATTTTGTTTAAGAATTTGATTATTCCAATCTAAATGTTCAGATTATTAGAGTGGTTCTATTTCTAATAATTACATTTAAGATTAAGTTCTATTAGTTTCTATAGTTGATTATTTTGATTAAATTTATGAATTTAAAGTATAATTTTACACATCTTACTTAGATGATAATTTCATCATTTTATCTATTTCTTTTAATACATCTTTAAGTGGTTCATATCCACAATCATTAATCATATTCTTGTACAATTACTATTATCTTTATAAATGACTTGTATATAAATCTCTTAATTTTTTAGTTTTGTTTCTTTATTCGACACCTCGCGATTACTTTGTGTTATTGTTTAATGTACTTGTTCTAATTTTATTATCTTTTCTTTAATGTTCAATTATTGCAATTAAATTGTTTTTAATGCCTAAAACACTTAATTCACATTTTGTTAATCAATTTCGCTTTCTCCTAAAACTTACAACTCATCTACATTTTTTTAAAATTCAACCAATTCTTATCTAACAATCTTTATATTATCAACTAATTTTACTTCATATAACTAATCAAAATTCATATCATTATTCAATAATGAAGTATGCAGATCGCTCATTAAAATTTATAATTATTAATTCCATTCAACATATAATTTTATATTTCAATTCATAATATATAAATATATTTTTATATATCAATTCTCAATCTAACCATAAAACTCTTTTTCCATTTATCCAATGTCCCTTTCTATTACCCTATTAAATATTTCTATACTCTCCTAATCCATTCTATTTTCCATCCTCCCATTATCCACTATATTATCTATTATCAACTAACTATATTTCAATCATAAATACTCCATCTTAATGTTCCAAAACCATGTTTCTTATCATTTTTATATTCCCCTTCATAAATTGTTCCATCTGCCCAAATCATTTTACCCTTTCCATCTTTCTTATCATCTTTCCATTCTCCTTCATAAACTCTACCATCTGCCCAATTAAAAATACTAAATATAATCTATAATTCATACCCATATCCATTAAATTAATTATTTTTAAATTCACCTTTATAAATACATTCATCACTAAATCTATAAATACCATATCCTGATCTTTTCCCAAATTAAAAACTTCCTTTATATGTTGATTAATCACAAAATAATTCAAATCCTTCACCATGTTACAAATTTTAGAACCATTAACCTTTATACAATGATCCATCATAATGGTAATATTCTCCATATCCATGATCTCATATTTATCATTTACATATACGTTAATCATCAACCCAATCTCCAATATAATAATCACCATCACAATATAACATTCTCCCTCTTCCATTTGCTTATCCTTGACAAAATTAACCTTCAAATAGAGAACCATTTTTCATTATTTCAATTCCTACTAAATTTTACAACAATTAATTAACCTTTTCCACTCTTTTAATCTTCTAACCACCCTCCTTTATATAAACTCCCATTTTTTAATTCATATACATATTGGTTACTTGTTTCTACACATTCATCCTCATAAGCTCCCAATTTACCTAGAAGTTCCTTTATTCTAATTATATTATACCTTGACTTTTTGAGAAGAAGATTAGAATAATTCATTTGTCAACACAGCAATCTTACAATTTGGTTTGTGAAACTCGAAAACTTAAGAACACTCTGTTTATCTTGTCTTTGTTTGAGATTGCATTTTATCTAAATCATCTTGTATTAGTGGTTCATCTGAAATAGTTAAGTGCTCTTTTATGACTTCTGCCTTTTGAGTATATGCCAGTGGAGGTATTTCACTTATTACAGGTACAGTTTCAGAACATACACATTATCCCATTGATATAATTATTATTAGTAGTAAGGAAAATATATATAACATCATGGCTTTTTAATGAAATTATTATTGGTCTAATACTCTTATTCTATCAATCCTCCCCTATAAATTCTAATTCCCAATTATATATATAAATCATAATCAAATGAAACCTGAGTCAATCTTCAATCTTTCTTAATAATTTCACAATCTTATTTTACTTTTTATTAAATCTTCTATTGTATTAAAGTCATTTAGATATCATTTAATAAATTTATTTGTATTCTTTAAATAATTTTTATATACAAAGTAACTTAATTGTTCCTAAATTTATCCAAATTTTAATAGAATAGATTTTATTATTGATTTTATATCTTACTTTTTATTAATTTATCAAATAATCTAATGCTTATAAAATATAAACACATATTGCTTTAAGATCTATGCTTTTTTATTATTATTTGTCTTTCTAATTTTGCTATTGAATTTAATTAAGCAATAATTCTAACTATCTAAATAGAGTTACTGTATTGAAAATGATTTTATTTACAATAATGCAGTAAAGCCTATTGATATTCATTAATTTTCTTATTCAAATTTAAGAATTAAAATGATAATTATTCTGAACATATCCAATTTATAATTAATTAACAATTTAAATAATTTATGCAAATATTATGATCAATCTTTTAATTATTAAATAATTAATTGAAACATAAAACTATCTTTTGATTCTGAACTAATACTTATATTACTTTATATACTAGTATAATTTAATAAATGGTAAATTCTAAATTTATATAAATAATTGATTATTTTAATGACTAATTTGATAAATCTTCATTTCTTAATAATCTACATGCGATTATAATTTATTTATAGAGCTTTATTGATTATTTTTCTTCAATTAAACAATATTTTAAATTATGAAGAGATTTTAAAATATAAATATTTTAATTAGCATAAACATAAATCACTTTTTAAAGAAAGACTATAGATCAAAATAGGGTTTAATAAAAGTAGTTACTTTGAATTATCTTTAATTTTTAATATTTAATTAAAGAATGTTAACTAATTACAATCCAAAAGAAATTTATCTTAATTTTCCTTTTTTACACTAGATAAATTAAGTGTTTTAATTAGTAAGAATAACAATCATAAAAAAGGGATTAGGATACTCATTTTGATGTTATATATTTAAACTTATTGATATAAAATAAATAAATTAAATCAAGCATGACTAGATAGTCTTTAGTTTCTTTCATGACTTTCATCATTGACTTAGTTAAATCTGGATTCAACAAGTTCTTCTAATTAACCAACTAATTAAATTTCATTTCTTCTAGCTTAAGTAGCATAATTATATTCATTGGTAAATGTTGAACATAAAGACTAGGCATAATCCCAAAGTTATTAATTTCTTTATAGTTTTCCTGAAGCTCTTTAGGCTATGGCTGATTAAGATCCAATTTATTAGTTTAAGTTATCTAATTTATTTTATAGTCTTTCATTCTAAGCTTCAAGTCTATCAATAATTTGTCCTAATCTTTCTTTTTGATCATTGAAGGCAGCAATTGTCACAGCATTTGATTCAGCAAAGTCATTGTAAGCTTCTTAGATATTAGCTCTTAAAGATTCTAAAAGTTATGCAACTCTTTCAAGAGCTGATTCATCAAGTTATCCCTCTGCGGTAGCTAATTAAGAAAAAGCAAAGAAGATTGGGGCAAATCTGGTTGTTTCTCTTATGTTGAAAGAAGACTGGAGCATGTTTTTAGCAACTCTACTTATTTCAACAAATGATCCTGATCCACTATTAATAGAAGCCAAAATGTCTGAAGCTTCATCAATAGCATGTAGAGCATCTTCATAATCTCTTCCTCTTTTCTTGAAATAACCAGCTTCCCCTTCAGCAGAATTATAAACTGAGGCTAAGTGTTCTTAAGCTGAGAAATATTATTATTGATTGACTTCTTATTGATTTGTAGCTCTAATTTTAGATGTTTAAGCAACATTTAATGCAGCTGTTGAGTCTCTAAGGACATTACTAGCATCTTAGACTTCAGCACTTCTAAATTCATTTTCAGAAGAACATTCAACTTATTGAACATTGTAGATTTCATCATGTTAAACTTATTCTGTGTTGACTGCATCTCTGAAATCTCTTAAAATATTTAAAATTGCTTCAAGTGGTGATTTGTTTTTCAATTTAGCTTCTACTTCAGCCAAAACAGCTGTTATAGATCTTTTTTTAGAATAATCTAAATTGAATTTTTTAGTAGCACTTGCTACAGTCAACATGACTAGTAAACATAGGATAATTCTCATTAATATTAATGATAAATTTCCATGAGATTATTCAGTTTTAAAATGAAGAAATCGATAATGAAAAACGGATTTATTTAAACAGCATACTATGTGTAATAATCACAATTAATAGGAACTTTCTGAATTTTTTCTAGTCCAACCAATCAAATGGAATTATTTCAATTTTTAATTTTACTATTATGATTGAGATCTTATTCTAAAATTAGGCTTTTGCTTAAATATTATAGGAATATTTAATTATACTACCTAACAATTTCTAATTTGTAAGAATTTGACTTACTTCCATTATTATTCACTATTAAATTTTAATTTATTTTTTATTCCACACTTATTCCCACATTCAATTATTAACTTTCTCATTCTTTTTTATGATTCAAAATCATATCTCTTAATTCTTTCTGTCTTAATTTTAACAATTTTTATTTTGTGATCTATCTTGATTAAAAAAATTATGTATGACACTTTCATCTTAAAATAAACTTAGAATAAGGTTTTGCTTGAGCATAATTAAACCAGTAATTTATATTTATTGATGAGGTTTAAATTATCTTCATCATCTCTATATATGTAAAATAAATAAATTAAAAATAAATATTATTATTCTTAGATCTTAAAATTATAATTATATACAAATATTATCTAATTCATTTTTAATAGAAAATATTCTTAAACTCTATTTAAATAGCACAAATACTTTCTGTTTTATTTACATTTCTTTATTTTCAATACTCTTTTATTTTATTTTCTCACCTTTTTATCTAAAATTCTTTATAATATTTGTAATATGAATTATCAATTAGTTTCTAAATGATTTAAATAAACTTAATTATTGATAAATGAAAATTATTCTTAAAGGATTTAAAGGATAAAAAGTTTTTAATTCTTTTTTGATCAAATTCATTCTCTATTCAACATTTATCTGTATGATAGAAATGGTTTTCATTAATTTAATATATTAAAATTGATCATAATAAAATGTAATAAAAATATATTAAAATCAGAAAAATAATTCTTATGAAAATTATTAATAAATGGTAATTTTAGCATGAGTCTATAAATTAAAAGAAATCAAATAAATTATTCTCTTAATTAGTGAAATATGTTTTAATAGAATTCAATATTATAATATTTTTACTATGAACTTTCATCTGACCATTTTGAATAATTTAAAAAAAATAATACATAAATTCAAAAAATTATTCTCCCCTTTCAAAATCAAATGATAACAATATCAATGATCATTGATAAAGCAGTGAGAAGTATTATGGTTTAACACAGAAATCAGTAATGTATTGATGGAAGTCAAATTTTTGATATTATTTAGAACGACAATCAAATATTTTATTCTTAATAGAAAAATATGAAAATTTGTTTAATATAATTTGTTAAATAAATAATTATTTATATTTTATTCATAAATTCATTTCTAACATTTCTCTTTTAAGTTTTTCAATAACTTTTTCTACTAAAGTCACTAATGTTTCTTCTGTCTTTTCTCTTTCTCCTCTAGTCTTTTTCAATTATTCTTATATTCTATTAGATATCTCTCTTAAATTCTCTACAATTTCTTCTTCTTTAATTTCTCTTTCTTTTTTTTCTCTTTAATTTATAAGAATTATAATTACTTTTCAAATAATGATCTTAAATCATTCAATTATTCAACAAATTAATGATATATTTGTTCCTCTACATCCTTTCTTTCTGTAATTTCATTTTACAATTCATCTGCTATTTTAGGTAAATCTTCATTTAAATATGAATCAATATATTCATGTGATGTTGATTATGCCTATATTAATATATTTAATACTAATCCTTCTTTAATAACATCTTATTATAAGGACTCAATTTATTATCCAATTGAATAAACAATCTTTTTTTCTTATTCTACTCTCTCTTTAGAGTTTTATTCAATCAATCTTCTAGCATGTCTTTCTAAGTCTGTAATCAATTTAAATGTTTCAGTTTCTTGTCTTTCACGACTTAATTTATAATTATTCAAAATACTTCTCTTATTCTTATTCTAAAAATTCAGTTATCTGTCTGACTTTGGCAGCAATATAAGTGAACTTCTCTTCTTTTTAATCAGACTAATGTTGCAATTGTGCTTCAAAAGCCATGATTAATTAACTGATTGTATGAAAACGATTATTCTTTCTAAAACATTAAATATAATGATTACTCATCCTGAACACTAGTAGAAATGTTATTTAATTTTTCAAAGATTGAAGAGACTCTATTTTAGATATTTTCAGACATTTTTTAATAATTTTTATTTGTATATAAAATAAGATTATATACATCTATTTATATATGTAAATAACATAACCAAGTTCTAGTTGTTAAAAGACAGATAAAATTTCTATTTGTTTCATTTAATATATATTTAATTAATAAAATAAATTCGTTAATGTTGGCTGATAAAACAAATTTCAATGAAAATATACCTAATGATCATAGTTACATCGAAGATCACTAATAATAATTTGAGAAAACCTCTTAGTTTACAAACATTGATGACAATAGCACTAATTATAATGATCAAGAAACTAATGAATAAAGTGTCATTCTAAGTAAGGATCCAGAAGTCTAGAAATCTATCTGTTTATAAGAAAATGAGATCTAAAGATTATCTTAAGCATACGCTGATAAATATTATTATGAAATGAAATTTGAATAATATTAAAATCTATTGGCATAATAATAATGCACAATCTCTAAGTTATTAAGTGAAAAGAAAGATCTACAATAAAAACTAGAAAAAACTATTATTTAACATAATTATCAAGATAATTATGATTCCTTATAATAGACTCATTAATTAGAATAAAAATTAGAAGAAATACAATTATAAAATGAAAATTTAACACAATAAAATGATTTATATGAAAAATAATTAGATGAAACAAAAAGATTGTTATAAAAGTTGAATAAAGAATAAGAATTATTATAATAATAATTTTAAGAATATAAGCTATAGGTTTTTATTAAAGAATAAGAATAATAATAATTGATTACATAATTCTAGAATAAGAGTTCTCAAGAATCAAAATTATCAATCTATTAAGAATTATAACATTAAATGAATGAAATAAAAGAACAAAATAATTATTTATTTGATTAATTAAGCAAAAAAGAATAAGAAATTGAATAATATTTTTAGAAATAATTATCAAATATAGTAGAATAATTCACTTAAGAAAAATAGGAATTATAAGAAGAATTGGAATAATAATTGGAAAATAAGGATGAAATAATACATTAATTAGAAATTTAAGTGAATGATCTTCATAATCAAGCATAACAATTATATTCTGAAAATTTACAATTATAAAATCAATTAGATCTATTAGGATAAAAGTATAATCTTATAGTGTATCATTTTAGTTATTAAGAAGACATATAATAATAGGCTAATGAGTTATCATAGTAAGTTGCTGAGTATAAAATTATAATAAATAATTTGGAAAATTAGATATTTGTGATGAATGCTGAGATCTAAAGAAGAGGTAGATCTAATGGCAAAGAAAATGCCCAAAGAGTCTTATAAGGAATTCAAAAAAATAACTTATAAAGGCTAAGTACTGGAGAAATGACATTCTCAAATATCACTCCTAGTTCCAAATCATTTAAATACTAAAACCTAAAAAATTGATAAATACTATATTAATAATAAATATAAATAATTCATATAAGACAAAATGTAAATTTTCTATCTCCCATATTATAAATAGAACCAAAATAATGGAAAAAGACTCCTAAAAATACAAAACAATGCCACCATTAATGACTATGACCCTAAAATAAAAACGATAATTACAAATATATCAAATTTTCCTGGCATAAATCTCTCAGGAATTCTTAAAGTATACAAAGCCAAACCAAATAAATAACTTGATCCCATTAAAATATAAAATACAAATGAGTGTTTGAATGGTAAATAATCTGAAATATCATCTCTATAAAATCTATTTATGTTATTAATAATTCATACTCTCTTAAATAAAGATGAACAGCTGGAACACCTGCAAATAATCCTAAAGATCCATACATCAATCCTTTAATTTTTCTCCACTTTTCAGTATGAATAAAATCAAAAATAGAAACAATATAAGCAGCCAAACAAGCTGATCCAACGCTAATGAGATAAAAATATCTCAAAAATGTATCACAATAAAATCCATAATAAAATGGAGGAAAACAAGAACCCAAAATAAGTAAAGAGATACCTCCGTAATCAACTCTCATTAGATATTTATTAGCTGCTTCACTCATCTAATAAAATAGATGGAATAATGCTGATCCAGCCATACACATTAATCCACTTACTAAAAATACTACTATAGGCCATCTTGAAACATGATATGGATCAGTATTATTTCTAAGAAATTATTCCTATTTCAAAATGGAAGTGTGGGAATAATCATGCTTATAAATTTCAACCCAATCAAATTATTCACTATCAATCTATTTATATTAAATAACATTTACTTCTTAAATTATTTTATCTTTAAATAAATTAAATTTATTTTAGAATATGATTGCATATTCAGCTACTTCCTCAAAATTAAGTATATCTACTGTAATTTTCATTAAATGAACAATCTCTTTGTAAGTCTCAGAAGTAAGCATAGTATTTTAAAAATGATCTATCTTATTAAAAATTTCTTCATATTTTTGTTTATCGGCAGTAATGTTTTGGTTGCTAATTGAAGTTGGGTTTTGTGTTGAATTGAAACTAAATATTTAATCAATATCTTGTTCTATTCTTTATCTGTGATCATAATGATAACTAACAATGTAAATAATTAATAGGAATGTTAGAAATGATCCTATTACATGTGTCCAAACATTGATAAGTTCATTATGTTTCTAAAAGAGTGACTTTAGTACTAGCCAAGGAGTAGAATAGTTTATTCTATATCCACTTAGGATGTAGATGTTGTCAACTGTATAGTATTTGGCAGCTTGTTAAATAGTTCCAACATAATGTTTTGCTTAGTTTATAATTCCTTTCATGAAAGTATTAATTTGAATAAAATAATAAATGTATGCCATGAGTTTATACAAGAATGCTTTTTAAATAGTAAAAATACGTAATGATAATAAACCATATGCAATATTTTAATAAATTATTCATATTAATTATATGATGATAATTAGTTTATAGTGCTTCTAAACCAATAATAAAATTAAATAATTCACTTAGGAAACTCAAATTAAGAAAAGTCAACTCCCACCAATAACTCATCCAATAGATTATATTTCTCCTTTATTTTTTCACTCTTTTTCTGATATTCTCTAAAACATAAAAAATAATTCTTACTTCAAAAGGTCTTCATCACTACATTCTGGATCGATTCCCATCTTATTAGCCAGATAAACTCTAGTTAATCCTTAAATTTCGTATTATCTTGATTGTTCAGATTCAAATTTTCTTAATGCACTACTATAAAATGAATATTTCATCATAAAAAATCCCCAAATGGGTAAAGTAGTTAAAACATTACCCCAAATAAACCATCTCATACTTGCCATTCCATCTCTTGATTTTATGTATTAATGAATCCCAAAAAATGTACCCAAACCAAATCCCCATTTTAATGCAGTAACTGTAAAAGGGAATCTAAAAACATACTTGGCTTTCAAATAATCGAATTTCCCATCAGTTGATTCCTCTTCACTCATAAATTTATAATTAATTTATAATTAATTTATAGGATTAGGTTTTTATATCTCTAAAATACCTATTAGCCATAAATAATCATAAGATTTTGTTCAAACAATAAAAAGAAATTATTTACTTTTTTAATCAGATATCTTTCATATAAACTATTAAAACTTTCAAAATCAAATATGAAATCTATCTAAAACTTGAATGCCTCTAAACTTTTTAAAGTTTATAGAAAGTCACATATATTATTTGAAATCAACCTAGTTAATAATAGCTTTTATTTCTACTTTTAAAACAAAAAAGATATATATATATGACTTTACATAGTTTTAACATTACATCCTAATAAATATAAGTCTAATTAATTAAGTTAAGAGCTTAATTTATATATTACATCATTCTGGAGAGAACAAATTGATTGGAGGAATAGTATATTATACCAGAAATATTTTATAATCAAGTAAAACAAATAATTGGATTAAATCTAAGAAATAATGCTATCATGTATGAAGAAGTAGATTTTTATAAAGATTTGTAGTATTTTTAATTAAATTATAAAATTAAAAAGATTAAATCAAAGGATAATACAAAGATTAAACTTAATTTATATTCTCGTTGCAAATTTGAAGTTAATACTATCATAATAGAAATTTGAAAGCATTTTTTTAAATAGAAATAGTAAATGAAGATTGAATATTATATGGTAAAATATAAACGGAATAAACAAAAGTTTATTGCTAAATATAATTAATTGCTTCCATATTAAATTATCAAAAGGAAGAATTTACAGGGTAACTATTATTTGTGGATTTAATTTTGATCCAAAGGATTACATATAAAGATGATTGATTATTCAAATAAATAAGAAACATAAACAATAAATTTAATAAAATCATACAATTTCTTAATTATAACTTGGCTTTTTTGACTTTCTTTTACTTTATGACAAAATAAATAAATATATCTTATTTCTTATCTCTTTTGATTCTATATCACTTGGAATATCATAAAATGGAATCTATTTGAACAATTTGGTATTATTCTGTAATAACTCTTTAATATATTCCTTGTATTATTCTGAATTAGGGAAACATGCGATAATATCAACACTTTATATAATCTCATAATTTAGACATTATTTGAATAAACTAAAAATTCCTGGTGTGTCATAAAAATTCAGCCCATGTGTATCATTCAATTTTACTAAGTGTTTTTCTAATTCTTAAAAATAAATATTTCTTTACTAATTGTAGGTCCTAAAGTCTTTTCTTTCACTATTCTAGTCTTCCCCGATCCTGATGGGCCTAGTAACAATACATTAAATTCTGTTAACTCATTTCCTTAAAAGCAAGAAATTTAACCCATTAATTCAATTTTTTAATTTAATTTCTCTTATTTATTTTTATTTCATTATAGAAATCACTATTAACAAAAATCTATAAATAAATATAAAATATTATTCTTTTTTTGAATGTCTTATAAATTCTAAAAAAAAAAAGTTTCTAATAAATAATTTTTACGCCAATGTTAAGATGAGAAAAAAAAGTTAATAAAATTTCATTTTCAAAAATAAAATTATTTAATTAGCAAAAGCAGTAAGTAAGAGAAAAACATGGCACTAGTTACAAATTTATTAAATTTAGAGAAAAAATTCCTAATCTATAACTTTAGAACTCTTCGAATACTATACATTATACAATTGTGAGCAGAATAAAATATAATTCTATTAAAAAATAGGATTTAATGGAGAAAAAAATATTTTGAAAATAATTTAACAACTTCAAACTCAATAATTAAAATTCCCAAATAATTTTACTTTGAAAAATTATAGAATCTTAATTAATTAGAAAGTGATAAATTTGTGATTTTATTTTAGTACATTTACTGTCTGATAAATTGATTATATCTCTNCTATCATAATAGAAATTTGAAAGCATTTTTTTAAATAGAAATAGTAAATGAAGATTGAATATTATATGGTAAAATATAAACGGAATAAACAAAAGTTTATTGCTAAATATAATTAATTGCTTCCATATTAAATTATCAAAAGGAAGAATTTACAGGGTAACTATTATTTGTGGATTTAATTTTGATCCAAAGGATTACATATAAAGATGATTGATTATTCAAATAAATAAGAAACATAAACAATAAATTTAATAAAATCATACAATTTCTTAATTATAACTTGGCTTTTTTGACTTTCTTTTACTTTATGACAAAATAAATAAATATATCTTATTTCTTATCTCTTTTGATTCTATATCACTTGGAATATCATAAAATGGAATCTATTTGAACAATTTGGTATTATTCTGTAATAACTCTTTAATATATTCCTTGTATTATTCTGAATTAGGGAAACATGCGATAATATCAACACTTTATATAATCTCATAATTTAGACATTATTTGAATAAACTAAAAATTCCTGGTGTGTCATAAAAATTCAGCCCATGTGTATCATTCAATTTTACTAAGTGTTTTTCTAATTCTTAAAAATAAATATTTCTTTACTAATTGTAGGTCCTAAAGTCTTTTCTTTCACTATTCTAGTCTTCCCCGATCCTGATGGGCCTAGTAACAATACATTAAATTCTGTTAACTCATTTCCTTAAAAGCAAGAAATTTAACCCATTAATTCAATTTTTTAATTTAATTTCTCTTATTTATTTTTATTTCATTATAGAAATCACTATTAACAAAAATCTATAAATAAATATAAAATATTATTCTTTTTTTGAATGTCTTATAAATTCTAAAAAAAAAAAGTTTCTAATAAATAATTTTTACGCCAATGTTAAGATGAGAAAAAAAAGTTAATAAAATTTCATTTTCAAAAATAAAATTATTTAATTAGCAAAAGCAGTAAGTAAGAGAAAAACATGGCACTAGTTACAAATTTATTAAATTTAGAGAAAAAATTCCTAATCTATAACTTTAGAACTCTTCGAATACTATACATTATACAATTGTGAGCAGAATAAAATATAATTCTATTAAAAAATAGGATTTAATGGAGAAAAAAATATTTTGAAAATAATTTAACAACTTCAAACTCAATAATTAAAATTCCCAAATAATTTTACTTTGAAAAATTATAGAATCTTAATTAATTAGAAAGTGATAAATTTGTGATTTTATTTTAGTACATTTACTGTCTGATAAATTGATTATATCTCTAAATAAATATATATTTTTACTTAAAATTATTCGAAGTTGCAATTTAAAAAGGCCCCAAAAGCAATCCTCGAAAAATATAAAATTCAAATTTATTCGAGAAGAGAGAAGATTTCATACTATAAAATATATGATAATATGAGAATAGAAAAATCAATAAAATAAAATTATAATGTATTATGATGTAATTTTAATAAAATTAATCAATAGTTTATTATTTTATAATCAATAATAATATGATTTATAACTTAATCAAATCATAAAAAAAAGTTTTCAAAAATAATTTGTTTTAGAATTTAAAATTAATTTAACTATTAAATCAATGCAATAAAAGAAATAAAGGATTTATTTTAGTTCTAAACATGTTTTAAAATCTTAAGAAAATAATTCTAAATAAGATAATGTTATTTTCTTAAATTAAAATATTACTGTGATCAAATATTTTTTCAATTCATTAATAAATAGTATTTAAGTTGCTTATTATGGGGAAATAATACTTTATTCTTAGTAAATTTTAGACACATAGAATAGAGAATAATTCAATGAAATAATAATATTTAATTTAAAACTTGTGAACATTATTATAAAATAAATTATTTACATTGAAATGAGATTGACTATAAATATAAAAATAATCTTTAGGATTTTTATAAGTTTTTGATATCATAAATAATGTTTAATATATAATATTATAATTATTTAATAACTAGAAAATGAAAAATTAAAAGTAAAGGAGATGAAAATACATTTAAAATTAGATGCTTTTTTAGTTGTAAAAATAAATTTCTTAATTGAAATATTCTAGAAGTTTTTCAAATTAGAGTTTAAATAGCAAATCGTATTACGCAATTGATAGATGAAAGTTATAAGTACATTTAGTGTGAAGAATAGTTTATTTTAAATGAATTATGTCTTTGTTAATAGTCAGGAATTTAAGTTATGGAAATTTAAATAAAGAGCGAAAGTTATATTAAGTCCATTTTACTTTTAATTTTAGTTACAATTAATCTGTTTTAAATCTTTCAAAAATCCCTATAGTTCTGGATATGTTATATTTTTTACCTTTTTCTTATAATCTCGACAACTCCTTTATATGATAAATTGACAATATTTTACAAGATTGATCTCTTCTGATTTACTATTAATGGATTGTTAAAAATTAAGAATATAGCTAGTAAAACGAATTACTTATAAATCTATTAATTTGGAAAGCAACGATTGGCAAATCAATTTGTTTTACTTTTTTTAGAAAATATTGAGAATATATGTAATAATAATTATGATTTAAAATAATAAAAATTAATAAATATTAAAATAATAAATTTTTCACTTGTATAAAATTTTAATTTTAATTTAGAATCAATTTATTAATTATTATGATAAATATAAAAAATTTAGGAAAAATTAATACAATTAGGGTTATTTTTAAGTGCAATCATTTTATAGTTTCTTAATTAAAATCATTATTTTATAAAAATGAAGATTTGTAATTACAGTTTTTAATCATTTTAAATTTTAATACATTTTATTATTTTAAATTATAACTATTATTAAATATATTCTTAATTTAATTCAATATTGTAT